GAACTGCAGATGCTGGATTGACCCGCTAAATTCCTATCTGGAGTTTCACATCTGTCATGGTTTGTCGGGTTGGGGATGAGGTGAAGACAGGGTCGTGATGGTTGATATGTATATAATCCTGAGCCGTCTTTTCATAAATGGATCTTCGCATTGTTTGTTCTCAGCGTATACTCATTTCTCTTGAGAGATAGCTGTAATAATGGCGACTGTCACTGCTCAACGGACAGATACAGCTGAGACTGTAACATATCCCCCTCAAACGGGCATCTTTAAGCATATCTCCAAAGCGATTCCCTATTTCCGCAATCCTAGACATGTCTTGATTCTCAAGCTTGATTGTCTTCTCCTGACATGGACTTTCATTGCTGGCATCATGAAGGAGATGGATCAGTCTGCGACTACACAAGCATATGTTTCTGGAATGCGAGAAGCTTTGAGTCTGTACGGCAATGAGTTGGTCTTTTTCAACACCTATTTCTCTATTGGATATGCCATTGGACTTGTTCCTGGACAATTGGCTCAGACGAGGGTGAGTTGGACAATCTTGGTGCCTATGGGTCATACTAATTCGAAACCAGGTTCGTCCATCTCTGTTTCTACCAACTTGCGAGATCATCTGGGGTCTCTTTGTCATAGTGTAAGTCTCCATGCCCCAGCGTGGTCTTTCATGGTTTACTTACACAGATAACAGCACCTGCAAAGCCCAAAACGCAACAACCGTCTACGCCCTCCGCTTCTTCCTCGGTCTCTTCTCAGCCGTCTTCTGGCCCAGTGTCGTCTCCCTCATCTTCAACTGGTACACACCCAAAGAGCTCGCCTTCCGAATCGCCTGCTTCAATGTTTCCGACGTCGCAGGAGCCATGTTCCTCGGTGCCCTCCAAGCAGCTCTGTACCGTAACCTAAACGGCGCTCATGGAATAGCTGGATGGCAGTGGCTTTTCATTGTTTCAGGTGTTATTACCATCGCTCAGGGAATTGTTGGCTTCTTCATCATTCCTGATACGCCTGCGTACACGCGTGCGAAGTGGTTGACAGAGGATGAGAAGAAGTTATCTCGTGAGCGAATGGAGGGCTTTGGCGCAAATACGTCGAAACTTATCCCTCCGGCTGTCTTGAAGCAGAAGTTGCGCAAGTTGATCGTCCATCCTGTGACGTACTTCTTCCTCGTTGCTTTTGCCTTGAATGCCTGGGCTCACCGCGCCACTTCGTACTTTGTTCTTTACATCGAGAGTCTCAAGGACGCGGCTGGTAATCGTATGTATAGCACATACCAGGTCAATGTCCTCCCCCTGGGCGGTTATGCTCTTCAGATTGTTTCCAATCTTATTTTGAACGGCTTGTCGGACTGGAAACATTGGAGATGGCAGATCAGTACTGGATCTACATTCTCATTTGGTGTCCTGCTTTGCGTGCTTTGTGCCTGGCCTTCAGATCAGAAGGTCGTTATGGCATTCTACTTCATGACCTATGCTGCCAACGCCGGAGCTCCTTCACTGATGGCGTGGTTTGCTGAACTTATGAGAAAGGAGCCCGAAGCGAGAGCAATTGTCGTTGCGATCACAGTTATGATTGTGTATATCGGCCATGCAACGATTCCACTTCGTGCTTTCAGAGTTGCAGACGCGCCACAATATCCTATTGGATTTCCACTGGCCACAGCGATGTCTTTTGCATCGGTTTTTGTCCAGCTTGGCTTGCTATGGTGGGCTCGAAGGAATTCTCAGCTTGTTAAGGGTGGTTATGAGGGTACTGCGATCGACTCGAGAGTGTCTGATGAGGAAAGCTCTGGAAGTATTGTCGATGGGGCAAGTGACCGAGAGGGAGGAGGCGGAGAGAAGACGGCTGACCCAGTGGTTTCAAAGGTCAACCAGTAGAAGCACCTTGAAGTTCTATGTAGATAATGAAATTCAACATATACCCTCGACATGATTAGGCATAACAAATTTCCAGTATGGACATCATCAGATGGAAGCCATTGCCATGATGAACATAAACCACGGCATGTCTACAAAGGATGCTAACATCTATGCTCCTTCCCAAAGAAGCAATTCGCTACATGAACTCTATTAGATGAAACTTGTGAGACTGGTCGGCTAAGAAATAAGCTTAATTCAACCAGGTCCAAGTGTAACGCCCGCTAGCATATCGGCTAAGTCACGTTGATTCTACAAACTTGAGGTTAAATGATCAAAACAGAAAAGACGACTTTCACGAAAGATCCGCATACATAAGAGCGTTAGCTGGTTTCAGAGCATTGGATGGTTTGGACATTGCAGGAACAAGAGCTGTTTGGGTTCACGCATTGACGTCGGAAGGATACAGCTTCTCTAAAGCGACTAGACCCTAACATATCGGCTTTCAGCCCATAATAGTCTTTTTATGCATATAAACTACTCATTGTAACTCAAATCATTGTTCGGTGGAATCGACATATCAACTTCAGTAGAAGGAGTCGCCCCCATCGGTTTCAAACCCCAGCAATTGAAAGATCTCCAGGCTGGCTTCGGAGGGTAACTGCCAAAAAACAGAAAATCAATGAAAAACTTATTTAAACAACATGTTCTTCATGATCCAGCATTGAAAAGCTGGCCTACCTCCTTTATCGTTGTGTTTTGTGATGGTAAGGGTTCTCTCTCAAACAATGCAAGAAAGGATTTTGAAGAGCTATCTCTTTATGAACTTTTTATTATACAGCTTCTCTTATGACCCAGGTGCCATAAAGGATCAGGATCATATCTGTTGTTACCTCGAGGTTCCAATGGGGGATGTTGAAGGCTGCTTGAAACTGTTCAGCAGGTGCCTGATACACAACAGCACACCTTTCACAGATCTTGCTCAGCTCTTAGGTTTCAAAATAGTGAAAATTAATTCCCAGGCATGCACTTATCTCAAGATGAGGCCGTTTTGGTGTATGGCTGAACTATTTGGTCAGATGACTGCTTTCGATAAACCTTAGAAATATGCTATCTCTGCTTATTTATAATAGGGATTTTATAAAAATTATTTCACTTATAATATGCTTCTCGACTTATCCCTTACTTAGTTTACTCCAGATCTTAGAGTTCAAGTTTTGTCTGTTAGTCGAAAGATGTTAATACTCAGCTAAATCGAAATGGGTGCATAACAAGCAGCCCGTGCCGGACAACTTGACACAACACGATGCTCTTTCTCTCAAAGACACTCACTCAGTCAAATGATCCGTGATGTTTGCAACAGTTCACTTCTGTCCAGATTGCCCAATGCTTCAACGAGTGCCCTGAAACGCCCAAGACTCTGCTCGAGACATTAGGGGCTAAATGCAAGCTTTATCACGCTTCGACCATGATACTTTGTTTCAACGCCCTACGGAAGACATTGGTTCCATTTTAAAAATAGAAAGCCCCCTTGTCTTACTTCTAGAAAACTTTCACAAAGCTTTCTTGCCCCAGGGGCGAAGGAGCGAGTAGTTACCAAAGTAGCTTGTCTCATCTTTCGCAGTCCTTCAATGCCGAGATCTGTTCATGATACATCATATCGCCAAGAACATACGAATCCATTTAATGTTAGGTTCCTGTGTTTGTCTCTACGCATATTGAAGGTCTTGAGGGACTTGCTTAGGCCGAGGATGAAGTAATGCAAGTCAACCTTGCACACGTGTTTAAGCTTAAATACCCAGCATGTGATTGTCCAAGCATAAGGGCCATTGCCCTCAGGGGTCCTTCAAGCGCCGTGCAGCTTAGTGCTTACTGCCGCGTGCTTGCAGAAGTTTGAAAGCATATGAAGGTTCAATCGGAGACTTCAAGTCGTCAAAGGCCAGTCGTTAACATCCGAATGTTTCAACAAGTCAACCAACGCAACCATCCATGCCACCAGTGGCAACAAATATACGAACAAGCTTCACGCGGAAGCAACCTCCCGATCCCGAGACCGTCGCAGGCTAGTTTCCAGTTCACCGTAGTCGTATGTTCATTTCATGCGTCCAAACCAACACAGCAAAGACAAGGGCATCGCTCAGCTATAATGCGTTGGTTCGCAAGCACATCATACGACGCATTGCCACCCCAGAGCCTGCTAGTAAAAGACACTATTGTTCTTCTGGCTACCGAGAAAGACGGGATATCAAGGCTGCAAGGTAACTAATGGTCAATTATTGGACTGTCCGTTTTTATCGGGATTTAATGGTCGCTCAATTTCCGTAATTCGGGGGATCAAGCTCGATATGACAGGTAATATTAAAATACCCTTGTAAAAAAGAAAGAGTCTAGAATTCTTCTTCAAAAGTAGAAAAAAAAAATTACTTGCAGAAGCTGACCAGAGCCTGATTGAGTTTACTCTGTACAGCGATAAACCCGAGATCTTCAATTTTTTACGGACAATTAAATTACAATCTCGATGCGCCCGTATTCTGACGTTTTCTTTTCTGTTCATCGAGTCCCATTAATTGAGACATTTTCCCTCTTTCTCATTACGAAAAGTTATCAAGTCCAGAATCTATAAAACAATTTCACTGGACCATGGGATCCATGTCCGCTATCCACTTACAAGGCCTCCCCTCGCTACAGCACACTTCAGTTTTCCGAGTGAAACGGCGGGCGACGGTGGATTTCCATTTCTTACAGCGCTGGAGCACCGTAAGCAGCCCCCGCAAGTGTTACCGTCTCGGCCCGATTGTGCTGTTCTTTCAGTGATTATTGCCGTGTTGATTGTCTTGAGGAATTGGATCGTCGTTGGAGAATTGACTGGAGTATGTTATTGGTTCCTTGGGTGATTATCGCAGTATTAGCTTGAGACATCAGGAATTATGCAAAAAGCAGGCGAGTAAATGGTATTTGAGCAAATGTTGCAGTGTCTGGTGTCATCTTGAACCCCTCAAAACACACCAAGCCCTACCATCGTCGCTAGATGAATCTTCCTAGTGTCCCACGGGGGAGGGGAAGAAGTTAATCTGTTGTTAACCCGCGCTTTTTACGTACAACAAAAGCAAATATTAATATTCCGACGATTATATCGTGGAGGTTAGACGAGAAAACGGGTCTCCGGTAAGAGGAGCCGGATCAGCCCCTGAGCTGAAGCTGCAACGTTTCCCTCACGGTGTTCTTTCACGAGGCAAGCGACCAAGCTCCTTTTACGAAGAGACCGTGTCCGAATCCTGGACTACCAAAATTCTTGGCGTGAGACCAACAGAACGGAGTTGTTCCGTTTCTCTTCTAGCGTCAAATGCACAAAATATGGATCAGCGGGCTTCTAGAGTGTGTTCCGTACATAGCCGAGCTTTTCCCAGAAGAGCCATGGCTTTTTTTGGTGCAGGGGGGAGAAATCGCAGAGGCAAGGCACAGAGAGGGCCCCTGAACTCCTGAGTTTGTCTTGTCTTTTGAGGCCTGATCCAAGCTTGAACCCTTCCTCTATTCCTCTGCCGTCTTCCGATACAGAGCTTTTGTTGGTTGATCTCGCACACACACTACGTACCCAGGCCCAGTTTATTCCTTCGCGCCGAGCCTACCCTCTACAATCTGATTCGAAAGCGCACCGACCGATCCAATCTCTATATCTGCGACGAATTATACACACATATCATAATGTCGGGTCTCGACGCACCAGAAGTCAGCGCAGCCTACGACGCCGTGCGCTCAGACAAAGATGAGACAAACTGGCTGCTCATCTCGTACGCGTCGGCCGTGGGGAACAAGCTGAGCCTCACCAAGACGGGAACAGGCGGTCTGGCCGAGATGGTCAAGGAGCTGGACGACGGGCAGGTGCAGTACGGCTACGTACGCGTCGAGTACGCCAACGACAAGGAGAGCAAGCGTGTCAAGTTTGCGCTGGTCGTCTGGATCGGAGAGAACACAAAGGTCATGCGCAAAGCACGCGTCAGCATCGAGAGCGGCGACGTCAAGAGGCAGCTCTCGCATCATAGCATCGCGGTCACCACGGGGGATCGGTCCGAGTTGGATGAGGGGGATATCGTTGTGAGGTTGAGGAAGGCTGGCGGTGCTGATTACAACGGAGGTCGGGGTTGAGATACGCGACGATAGCTTCACGATGTCGTATCTACATACATATCTTGCCCGTACATATCATGATATACAGCGTTTACGGCTCGTTATCTTGGACGAACCGGTCACGTGCGTGCTGGAGATAGACGGCAGTTCATTATCTATCACGGAAATGTCGCCGGACTTCTTAGATAGGAATAAGGCGCATCCAAGGAACGAGGGGTAACGATGTTTACGATAGAACCGGTTTCCCAAGCTCAATACCCCAAACTTTGTGATAACTAGCCAAGGCTATCAATCCTTCAACCACGTTAGATGCCAGGATTGCCGGGCGCGCGGGTGCTGATACCCTGACGATCACATACTGGATATTCACCAGATTAGGTAAAGTTCAAGATTGGGAGGGATGCATTCAATTCAATTCAATCCCGGCATTCGGGGTTTGATAGATATGATGGGTGAATTTAAGGTGAATGTGCATGATCTGCCTGTTTCACAAGCAACCTCTTCGACCGTCAAAGCTCTGCACATGTCTGCCAATATCTGTATCAGTCCTCGGGTGAAACCTACCAGCCAACCACCACCTACCATCAGTTTAGCTAACAGGTAGGCCAAATGAACCCACGGCTGAAAGCTTGGCTCAGTAATTGGCACTTTGAGATTCGACCTATGAAACGCGGTATTTTACTCTGTCAGAGCTAATCTCCTTCCAGTTTGAGCTGTCGACGCCGAAACCTTGTGTCGGCTTGTCCGTCTTGTGCAGCCCACTAGCATGACGTAGGGGGTTCGGCTTCAAGCCTATCGTATCGTGTTTCCCCGGTCGTTGAATGAGTCGCTTTTTTTGCTTCAGCCCCGCGCTTGGCCTATCATAGGGAGGGCACTCAAGGTTGGCTCGGTGGGAGAGTTGGTGATGGCGTTGCAAGGCGTTTGTTAAGGGGAGCTGTCATCTTTACTGGTGATGCAGAGTGCAGTCGTTGCATTAGAAGTGAGGGTAAGCATTGTACTCACTAACAGCATCAGTAACAGTCAGTCACTGTAATCAGTCACTCGACCCCCCCCCCTGTACCTTGGCCCGTATCTAGGCCTGACCCTTGGCTTTCCATCGTGTGGGTTCTCTCACGTCTCAATCATTTTCACCTTTTCCTCTTTCAGACGTTGGCTTGATCCCTGCCCCATGGCTATTGATTGCCACCACGCACCCACGCACATGGAGAACCCACTCCCGCAGCAACAGTAGATAATTTAGCGTTTTCCCACTCTCCCTCCCATGCCTTGCTTGTGCTTGTCTAGGTTCGGTCTACTCCAAATCTCTTCAATGGTCACTCTTCCCCAGATTCAATTCCTTTCTTTTTAAATCCCCTCACATTCCCACGCCTCGTATCGCGTGTCACTCTCTTTTTCCTCTCTCACCTCCTCTCTCACCCCCCTCTACAACACTGTTGCTGTTGTAGTTGTCTTATCCTCCCTCCCTCCCGATTATGTCTAAACACGACTCGGCCAGCACAAGCACTGGAGTCATGGACCCCGTCGCAGAGCAGAAGCCTCGTCGAGGCTCAAAGGCCTCGCTCGGAAACACTGAGGGTGCTGATCAGCTCCTCGAGAACCTCGGCTACAAGGCTGAGCTGTCGCGTAACCGCTCTACCTTCCAGGTCGCCTTCATGTCCTTCGTCCTCGCATCCATTCCCTACGGTCTCGCTACGACCCTGGTTTATCCTCTGATTGGAGGCGGTCCCGTCAACGTCATCTGGGGCTGGCTCGCCGTCTCCCTCATCATTGTCTGTGTTGCTTGCTCTCTCGGTGAAATCACCAGTGTCTATCCTACCGCTGGAGGTAAAAACAGATTCCTCCCATTTGCTCGCGTCCCACTGTGAAAAAAAGCATGTAACTGATCGCGTGATACTACAGGTGTTTACTACCAGGCCTTTATGCTTTCTCCTCCTCGATGGCGTCGCATTGCTAGCTGGATTTGTGGCTGGCTCTATATCGTTGGAAACATCACCATCACTCTCGCCGTGAACTTCGGTACCGCCCTCTTCATCGTCGGCTGTGTCAATGTCTTCGAGAAGAGCCCTGGCGTTGGTGTCATGTCTGGAGAGCCTTACCAGGTCTTCCTTGTCTTCCTTGGCCTGACTCTCCTGTGCAATGCTGTCTCTGCGCTCGGTAACAAGTGGCTTCCCTGGATTGATGTATGCTTGCCCTCCTTTCCTCCTCTTGTGGACGTGATGGTTGCTGATACTCTGCTTAAAGACCGCCGCTATCTTCTGGACCTTCGCTGGTCTCATCGCTATCATTGCCACTATCCTTGCTATTGCTAAGAACGGACGTCGTGATGCCAACTGGGTCTTCACACACTTCGAGGACAACTCCGGCTGGCCCAAGGGATGGTCTTTCTGCGTCGGTCTCCTCCACGCTGCTTATGCTACTTCTTCTACTGGAATGATTATCTCGTGAGTCCTCAGTCTACCAACTAACTAAACCTCAGAACAGCTGTACTAACATGGTATAGCATGTGCGAGGAGGTTCAGAACCCTCAGGTCCAGGTCCCCAAGGCCATGGTCGCTACCATCTTCATCAACACCTTCGCCGGTCTTCTCTTCCTCATCCCTCTCATGTTCGTCATGCCCGAGATCCAGGACGTCATCGTCTCCGCCCAGCCCGTGCCTCTCATCATCAAGAGCGCTGTTGGCAGCTCCGGCGGTGCCTTCGGTCTTCTCATTCCTCTCATCGTTCTCGCCATTATTTGCGGTATTGGCTGCACAACTGCCAGTTCTCGATGCGCTTGGGCTTTCGCTCGTGATGGTGCCATTCCCGGTGCCAGGATGTGGTCCAAGGTCAACACCTCTCTCGATGTTCCCCTGAATGCTATGATGCTTTGCATGGTTATTGAGATCATCCTCGGTGTTATCTACTTCGGATCCTCCGCCGCTTTCAACGCTTTCTCCGGTGTCGGTGTCATTTGCTTGACTGCTTCTTACGCCACTCCTATTGCTATCAGTCTTGCTACTGGTCGCAAGCAGGTCAAGACTGGCCAGTTCTACCTCGGAAAGTTTGGTGCTGTCGCCAACTGGATCGCTCTCGGTATGTACTCTAGCTCCTCTATCGTGATATGTCTTGCTAACTCGTTATTAGCCTGGTCTCTGTTGGCTATGCCCCTCTTCTGCATGCCCTCCGCCATCCCCGTTACCGCCGAAACCGTCAACTACGCCCCCGTCGTCTTCGTCTTTGCTTGCATGGTTTCTGGTATCTGGTACTGGGTCTGGGGTCACAAGAACTATGCTGGTCCTCCTACCCACGAGGACTAAGCTGTTGAAGCAAGCAGGATCTAGATGCTTGACAGTGCAGTGCGCTTCGCTTCGTTTGACATTTCATATCAATATCAGTCAGTATATATGTGCGACAGTTTAATTCGTGCCTATGCTTGCCAGCGCGATGTGCTTGATACCCCGCCCGGCCTGTACTCAAGGCCTGTGATGCTCTTGGTATTAGCTAGAAGATATCCATAATTCAATATTGTTAAGCTTCAACGTGATTGTCTCATTACATTGTTCAATTATAGTAGATCTTGTGGCTCGTAGTCTTGTGCAGCCGCCCGCTGCATGCTTGACAGACGAGCTGTCGTGTCGGAAATATGGGAGGCCGCGTGGAGCGGGAGTGGGTAACGCCTTGCGACTGGCATGGGCAGTCTTGATGCAATGTATAGTCGATGCTCCATGCATTGTTCTTGAGCCAGACCCTTCGATTGAGTCATGCGCGCTGGTCGACTGCCTCCCAGGATGCCTATAAGGTGTATCTTCATTCTCATCCTGTTGCTCAAACTCTCCCACTTAAGGTTAAGCATTCTCTCGGTCTCTTTGGACCTCTTCAAGTTATCTGAGGATCTTATTGAGGAGTGGTATGCTCAAAGATGAAGCTATGGTCACGCGAACATCCACTTCAAGCATGGGATATGTGCAGAATCTGGAGCAAAATGATTTCTCATTTTTTTATAAAAAGGATACGGACATGAGTATAACGTCTAAGCGTGATCTACATATAATTCGAAGTTACAAATACTAAGAATGCTCGACTGTAGGTGTCATGCTGGAGCCACATGGTTCATACTCAACGTATCGACGTTGACATCTGAGTTCACAATACAGAGGCAATTCATCGAGCAAGAATATTATTACGTATGTCATTCAAGGCTAACTAATATCTCTATTGTCTATGGACTATTGTTAATTGCTAGTCTTGCAGTCCATTTTATATAGAATCAAGAGTGTACAGCTTCTACCTTGCCAGCACTCACTCTCGGAACTAGACTTCCTCAAAGACATCCTTGGATATCTCAATGGTGGTTTCGGTCATGGAATTTCCTCTCTTCATCTTCAGACTATTTTAAAATTGCTGGTGTTCCTTCCTAGCTTGCGAAATGACTACGAAGCAGAGTGATTGATAATGTTCATGTAGCTGCCCTTGAGCTTCATCAACCAGCTACACTCGCGGATGGGCTCAACTCTCCAGTTTCTAGATAATATCACGTCTTCGCATATTATATTCCAGGCAAAGTTCTATTTTAGAGTTGGTAATTGTCCAAACTCGTGCGTATTGGCTGTATACCTGTCTAGGAGGATATCGAACTACGATCAAGCAAATGGTTCAAGAAACGATTTCTCTGAAACAAGACGAACCATAACGCAGTCACGCCCTTCCTACCTTTCCATTCAACCATGATGGTGGTCTCCAATCAAAACCAGTGTCTCAAATACGTAGCTTTCACGATAGAAAATCACGAACAGCCAGTCTACGACTTCGACAGTCACATCGTCAGCATGCTTTCAGCTGTAGAAGCTTTTTCTGGCCATAAGGTTAAACTTTAGGCGTCCAACACAGATGTCAGAAATACGGTATTCCTTTTCACAATACGAGCTTCTACCCAAAAGCTTCCACGGTGACCAATGAAGCTTATATCCATCAAGCCCTTAGCGCTTTACAGAAGGAAGAGACCAAATCAATATGGTTTAGCTACCTAGAATGTTCCCCTAAGCTAGCTAACATTCCCATATGCTACTGTTATTGGAGGGGTTTGAGGCCTGTTTTCGTTGAAATTCTGCTTTGTCGTGACCACCTAGACCAATATCAAACAGCCTCAGGCACCCCACAGGTCCTCCATGTATCATGGATTCAACACTCTTATTTCTTGCGATATCATGAAACCCGGGATCTGATCTACCACCTCTGTCCTTGCTGTTTCCCAGAGCATTGTTAAGATCCCTGTCCAGTTCGTTCTGGCAATGACTGATCGTGACTCACGGCTAGAAGTTCTCCGGAGCTTATCATCCGTCACATGTCGATCATGCGTCCATAGCAATGAGTGTCTCCATCTCTGACCCATCAGAAGTCTACCAACACTATTGTCGATCGTGCAAATGAGCTCTTTTGCTTGTGTTGCCAAGTGTCACTCGAACTGACAACTCCCAGGGTACTGTTGCCGAGCTTTCAAAGAACTATTCTCTCATGTGACAGGACAACGTTACTACGTTCTAGAGTTATTCAGTTAGTATTAGTTCGTTACACAGTAGTCATTCACGAGCCTCTTAATTGTTGTCTTTAGCCACTGTCGTGCACTCCCGAGATATGTACAGCGGCATGGCACAATCATGTTACTTCCCCAGCAATCATATCACTTTCAAACGGAGTTAAGTAGGTCTCCCTCGCCTCTCGTTAGTAGTCCGTAGGATGTGTCGCTCCTTACAGAAAAAAGAACAGGTGATATCCTTTGAAATCAGCGTCAGCTCTCCCCTCCAGCAAATCACCATATCATCCCAAAAGCCGTGGAACTCAACCGGTCAAAAACTGAAGGGGATTGTTGCCGTGCATATTTTGTGCCACCCAAAGTTATATACGTTCCTGACGCTCCTTTTTGAAAGCGTTGATGAAGTGTTCTTATGCAGATTGGGTTACCTGAGACGGAAAAAGCCGTTTCTAGCCCTCGTGTCGGTGCAACCCACGCCATGCTTACAGATATTGGAACGCAACATCGGGTTTTCGTGATGGATGCTTCCCAATTGTTGGCCGAATCAGGGAAAAGATATGGCAAGGTCTTTGTACTGTAGGGGTAACAACGAGCCGATACTACCGAAATCTGGGGAACATAAACGAACTGCAGCTGAACACCAACATATCAAAACCAGGATTTTTGGCCACAAATACACATTCCGACAGGAAGGTAGACTAAGCAGAACCCTTATCTATACGTAGAGATAACACAAGAAAACACGAGAAATGGCATTCTCCACGGAAAGTATCATCAGCCGCCACCAAAACTCTCGTCCAGTCGAGCCTCAGCATCGCCTCACGGTTAGCTGTCAGAGTGGCACAACAGTCGCCATTGAATTGATACTCGCAGCCGCCTCTGTGAGGAGTCAGAATGGCCCGGGCCGTTGTCAGTGGGTGTAATGAGGGCAGATCTAGAACTTGGTAAGATAATACCGTACAGTTTCAACGCCGACTAGCGCCTCCCTTCTTGACCGAGCGTCGAACGCTCAGATGGGGAAGTTACGGAGTCTGGGGCATCCGGGGAAGAGCAGACGTGTCATATGCTCTGGCACATGACACAAGCTGTCGTTACAGCACAGAAGTCGTTTATGTATGTGAGATCTCAATATTCAATATTGCTACCCTAATGTCTACCGTGCACTTCGCGACAGTACTACCCTACAGCAGCACGTAGAGTTCAAAGGGATAGATAAGCTCCGCAGCTGAGGGCAACACCTCCGAGGAGGGGAACCCTTTACGGCAGAGCAAGTCAGCACGGCCAGTCATTTGACATACGGTAGATGCACGATATTGCAAGACAATGCGGGACACGCCTGTCTCGGGGGGCAGTTTCTCCCTGCAAGCGCAGTGTACGGTAGTGTGTACTGTAGGTCACTGTACCTACAGTAAGAGAATGCAATGCGGGCGACTCATGAGGACGCAGAACAGAGATGCATGGCTGAGGCGGTGAAGAGGTTACAGTAGCAGTGACAGTTTCTAACAAGTGAGGCGGCCGTTTACTTTGGAATAGCGTAGACATCTGTGTGTTATTGGTGTGTGGCGGAGAAGCGAGCTCAGATTTCGGGTGGTGGCTTTTTTGGCACGATGTGATGCTGTATGCCACCACTTCAAACTTTGGACCTTCAACTCCGCGTCCACACATTGGATATTGAGGGGAAGGATGGCGGGGTGCGAGGCGAGGCGCCTTTGCCAACAGAAATAAGTGGAATTCAATCACATCTCTGCTCCATATAGTGCCAGTGCGTGAAATATTCAACATTCATTTTTACGAATAGCAACAATTACGTAGCAGTCCTTGAGCGAAAAGGGATAAGGATGAGGGATATTGCTACTCACGGGGGAGTCCACTTGTGTATTAAGCCGTTTTGAACCTCGCCAGGTTTGAAAAGGGAGATGAGAGGGCTCTTCCATAGCGGAGACATGTATGTCATGGCGGTTAGTTATTTGACTCTGACTCCTATTTCCCATACCATTGATGTGATAGTAAAGCTGCGGCTCATTCACAGGGGGCGGAAAGTGGATTCTACTCTATGTCTCCATCGTACCGTAGCGAGATAAATGGAACATCGAGAGAGGCTCTTTGTGCGATCCTCCGGCACCAACCAGGCTCCCTTGCTTGTGCTAGCCTAGTTCCAGCCTCTAGGATCAGTCAGCCTTTTCCGCTTCCTCGTTACTCTCTCATCGATTGTTAAAACAAATGCTTGGCGTTGAAATTGCTTGGAAGCAGAGACCGTGCACACCCAGTCGAGCAACTCCACCTGATCCGACTATTTGCACGATTTGCATACTAGACCTCGATGGTGGTGATCACAGCATCTGTGCAGAATACGTCATAAAGCAGTCACTTTTCAAAACTACATTGAAGTATAGTCTGAGTTTTCCTTACCCCGTGGGAGCACGGGGGGACCAGGTCTGGGGAAGCCAGAAAGAGAATGAGGCGAGGCGAGCATAATTCTGTTGAGTTGGTGTCGGGGAATACCAGGAATAAAACACCAAAGTCGGGAACCAAGTCCCTGTGCCTGGACAAGAAGAGAGGTACACTATCCATAACTGAACAAGTTTTGCTGATCAGAGGGCCGAGCCTCAAGTGGTGGGCAACCATCTCGGGGCTTGGTGGCTGCCTTGGGAGGTTTGAAGCTGTTCGAATTCAGTAAACGTATCCATCGGTGGGCGTTCAAAAGTGCCCTTTCGGACGGCGCCTCTGTGAAATACTGTGGGTTCTCAATGTGACATGCCCCGTTATGAAGGAGCTTCAACGACTCATGCGAAATACAAGCCTATACGCCAGTCTTTCAAGGCATCTTTGAAACCCAGCACCTGCTTAGCATCGATACAAGACACGCATAAAGAGCACGATTCACCGGCCTTATCTGACCGACTGCACAAGGGGGACGCGACAAGGGTCGATCAGCGGGGATATTAAACCAGTCGAAAGCAGTCTCGAGACACCAACAGGGCAGTGGTATTTTTGCCAAACTCGTGGTGTTGGTGTTGAGGTCCCGGTTTCTGCTTGTGATGCCCCTACCTGGTTGGCAGCCAGACAGCCAGGATCTCATTCAAGGTGGTGTGGAGGAGGGGGGCCGTTGCTTAGCGAGCCATGATAACGGGCGAGGGGGGGTTCCAGGGAGGGGGAGCGGAGAGGGGGAGCATTTGTGTGCTCTGTTCATAGTTACAGCTCTTGATGTAGGAAGCTCTCTATGGAAGTGTTTAATTCTGACAGAGCTCGAATAGTGACCAATTGAGTAATTACCGACTTCTAAATCAGTGATATTATGCTTGATAAAGACCCTGGATGAGCCTTGGCAGCTGAGTTGCTCGTAGAGGTCTAGAATGGACTACCTGCCCCTATGAATAGCTTCCCCGCACCATGAGTCGATGTTTGGTCTTGAGTATCAAAAGCTGTCATACTCAGATCATGCCGCATCACGATGGAAATATACCAAGCAAAGCAATTTACCAGGGGGAGCAAACTTTCCCATATCATCATATCAGGTTCCGAAACGTCCGATAAATCACGTCTTGGAAATGCCATCACGTGGATATCGGGTTCTTGATGTCGGCCGAGAGAGAAATGGCACATCATGTGCAAAGTAACATGACCCTACAGTAGTCTTTCTTGTTCATCCAGATGCGGTTACAATGGAAAGTCATCGATAGTGCGTTAGCAGAAACATGCCATGGCTTGCTTGGTCTTGTAAAGAGGGGGTTCGCGCGGGGTTGGAGAAACGATGCTCGTTTTGTCAAGACGCGCAGAGAGAGCTCCAAGATAGCGTAAGGTAGGGTGACGTGCAGCTTCTGGTTAGGTCTCTGGATGATGACACCCGAAAGGAAAAAGAGTCCAAGAATGAGCCATCACCAATATTGACTTGGTGGAACGAAAACCACGGCAGGCATCTCTTCTTGCTACCTAGCATCTCGCTCGATGGTAAGCTGGGCTCAATCGGCATCACCCCACTCCGACAGGTAGCGCCTCCGGGGCGGAAGATCCGGTAAAGCTTAAGGGCACATCGTAGCGTTTAGCTAAAACCCGCTCCTCCAATTGCTTCACGGTACTTGGGAGTTCACTAATTATACGGTGACAGTGTTTTGTGCGACTCCGCAAGTCGTACCGATAAGACGAGACGAACGGCGTCTGGGGATATTGGCTTGAATGATGAAGATGAGTTGCAGATCACAGAGAAACACGAAAACGTTCCCCGCATTCGTGTTGGACCAATTCCATCTCGTCAAAGTCTCCCCAGATGCTCGGCAGATAACGAGACGCAGCGGAGGGAGCAAGTGATAAGAGCCTAGATATGCGTTATGACTCTCAGAAACGAGGTGACTTGCAGCAAGAGCATACGCAATACCACGCAATTAACATGCCTCGCAGCGTCATCATCGTTAGACCTGCCCTCTCATCTCCCCCTTCTCCTCGAACGAGTTGCGCTGTAGTGTCGCTGATGCATTTCACTTCTCATCCTTCTGATTGCGGATGTGGCTGCGTATATGGCGTATCATTTTGAGGCGGCCATCATTCTCCCATGGTAACGTCGGTGAGCAGCGGAGAGAAAGTAAACTCGATTTGGACAGAACCCTTTTTCTCCTACGGGGGTTCTTCTCTACGTAGGTGTAATGTATGAAGGGTCCCGTTTCCTGCCTTGTTTTTATCGCCACATAAAGGGTCTGCCCTTATTCCCAGCCGTGAGGGTGAGGGCGTACACGAGGAACACTGCAACGAAGATCACTGTAATGTACGGGAATGGTTTTTGGTACATATGTATATCCACTCACACAGTTCTGCTTTTGTGGCATTATCATGGCGGGATGCCGACGATCAGGGTAGCAGACATCATTTGGGGCTGGACCCCTTTGAAGATCCCCTCAAAGTGTTGAAGAATGGCAAAAGATGAACGATTATGACCCACGAGGCTTGGCTATCATGCAAAACACCAAAATGACGGCCTCGGCATGGCATGATGAGATGAAAAGAGGAGGAGGTTTTACTTGGTATACCCTCAATCAGATCATTGAGGTTGTGCTTTCTTGGCCCGTGGGTCCTGTTAACACCATAAACACAGACCAAGAGAACCCTTGACCCACCTAACCACTGGATGGAGGATGTTCTGATACCCAAGGGGCTGGAGATAGTTGCATATTCAGTTTAGTTCTTGTAGACGAGACAATTAATCACGGATATCTGCTTCCTGGACAGCGGCAGGCGTCTAGATTCATGGGTGGCGAAGTGTCCGTGTGCAGTGTTGAAGACTTTTTGATACTGAGACGGCAATTGATCTTCGATTCACAGAAGACCCTTGAGATCAAGAGACAATTGTTGGCTGGATCATAGACGCCTCTGGAAGCCATCATGGTCAAAGGTGCCAGACCAAAATGTTACTGTAGTGTCTTGCTATCATGCCATTAATGACATTCACTGCAAATCATTGCCTTGAAGACCGTGCGCGTCTAGTGTGGGCCACTGAATACGATACGGTTGATATTGAGCTTCAGAGCTCGTTGGGGTCTAAAAAAGGCGAGACCTTGGAGCAGGGTACGAGAATAAGCCAGTCAAGAGTCCCGCCTTTTCATTGTAAAATTGTAGTAGTATTTCTGTCACCTCTGATCGAAGTCCTTCACCCCGGCCTCATCAACTCCAACTCCAAACTCCATTCAATCTCGGTCTGCGGCTTCAGACCCACCAAAAACCCAAGTTGAATGTCGCCCTGGTCAATGCTCATCCCTGCCCTTCGATTCCCTGTCAAAGCTCATGGATGGCGCCCACTCTTGCATGCTTAGCGAAACTCACTGCGAACCGCTGCTGCCAAAAACCAATCAAGCCACAGAGATCCTCGCCGTTTCACTCACACACATCGAGATGCAGTGTGTGCGCGCTGACACCCATCCCTGTACCCTGGGTGTGGCGTGCGAAGAGTGAAGAACGCAGGAGATGCTCATTGCATTCGCGGGGCAGGGCCAATTGATAGTGAGTGCGAGTGCTGATAAGGACTGCTTTTAGATATGCTTGGCTATCTGTGCTTTATCGGTGTGATAGTCATCGCAGTGTTGGAGGTTGTGTCAATGTCATTACAGTGGTTGGATGGCATCAATGGTGAGAAGAGCAGAGCGACATCGGAGCTTATGTTACGTGATGAATAGAGGCTCTGGCGTGAGTTACACAAGATATTGGGATAGCTTTCCGGTCTCACTATCGTCGCGATCATCCTTGATGATCTCGCCGCGCATCTTGTCGCTCTCCCGCGCATTATCATACGACAAGGGTAGGGTAAAAAGCAGATCAGTCATATCACAATAGAAAAGGAAAACAGTGAATTGAACAAACATGGCTTATTGCATATGCGGCATGTTTCCAAAATAGACGCTCTGGGAAACGGAGCCCCGTCTGAAGGATCATCATCACATCTCGTAAAACAGAAACGGTCGTCCTGCAGTTTTGCAAAACCGTACGTTACGGGCGATGCGCTGAGTGCGACATTACATTTGCCGTTCAAGTTGGTGTGTGCATCGAGAATGGATCCCGTCGGTGAAAGGCAGAAACAATATAACGGTTGAGGCAAATAAGTCGGGATGCGACAGGACGGAAATGGAAGAAGCTATTTACTTGTTGGTGGTAGTATGTGACTAATGGGTGGCGATGAAAACTCTTGGTGTTGTTGCGCTTTTATTGCCTGACCTTTCACTTTCACTTGTTGGGGGATGGGAGTGAACGGTTGCAGAGCATATCGGTGGCGATGCGACTGTCAGCTTTCATTTAATCCTTTAGCTGTAACAGTAACCGCCTTGAGTTCAAATGGTGGGCATCGCATCATTGCAGGGGACTTTATGGTTGGTTGGGGATCAGGGTCCTCTGTATGTAAAGTGACTGATGGGGATAGCATCGATGAGTGGTTGCACACACTTCGAGCAAATTCACATGTGAAAATGCAAGCCACGGTGAGATCGCTAACGCTCGCGTACCCAACAACCTCCCAAAACTGTTAAGACGAACCACAAAACACCATGATTTTAGCTTCTGGAGGCGTTCCCATTGTTGGGTCTAGCATCTCTCGATATGGCTCTAGCGCTGTCACTCACAGCTCACCTCTCACCCTACAGTCATTCCATTAACAGTCAGAATAAGACAAGCTTCTTTGGGGAAAGAGGCGGTTTGCCTTAGTTGCCGTTAGATTCGGCAGTATTTGAGGCATTTGAGGATATTTATTTAAAAAGATGTGAGTGGAATTTCCCCACCTACCGACCGGTCTGTTAATATGGGCGGGACGTTCTGACTCTGGATGTGAAATTGAAGCTGATAACGGGGAGCAATTGGAGGCTTTTGGATACAACCCTGGAGGTGCAAAAAATTTTCTGGACCAATACAGAAATAGCATCCCAAGGAGAGGCTGAGAAGTGTGAGTGGGCGATCTGGTCTGTGCATGGCCCGTTATCTCTTTGGTGTCGGACGCGATCTTGGACGCTAAACCCCTTCGGTGCAGGTCTTATCCACGTCCTCGCTTCGCCCTTGGAGCCTCGATCTGGGATTGACTCTTTTTAATCTCGCTCATTTCAGTTTTTCGTAACGGTAGGATAAACAAGCTCAACACTACTGTGCGTAGTACGTGGGGGATCTGTGACATTTTTCATATTGGCATCCCGCCCAAAGCGCCAGACAGTTCCGTGGAGAAATAATAGGGAGGAAAACTCTTGTAGCCAATACCAGTGCGAGGCTGTCTTCCGCCCTCCGTGTGTTCTGTCAAATCATGACAGGAAGCTTTGACATGCTAGTCTTATTGACTAAGCCGTGCATGTCGGATGTAGTCTCGTCTGGGGATGGTGTAATCTGCATTGCAGCAAAAAAAGACAGCCGCCATCGTCTGGAAACTATTGAAGCGGGAAAGAAGCGGTCTTGACTCTCTGACTTCGAGTCTGTCTTCTTGTTCATGACAACCTGAATCATGCGATCAGTTGTCTGGTGAAGAGACACGACCGTGTTCAGACTGTCATCTTGGAGAGTGCCAGACGCAAAAAAGAGAAGAGGCTCTAGCTTTTTATGGCTGAGACCCACATACGCGAACGAACAATCTGGAGGCTCTCCAAGTGTGTCAGCCACGAGCGTTGGGTTTTGCTTTTGCTTTGTCTTGGAGATTTCCCGCCCTTTGACTTCGCAGGTTCATTTGGGGATGAGGATCAGTGGGCGACAAGCATCGTGAGACGTTTGGACCTGGGGTTTGTCCGTCGTCCACTGAAATAACAGCGGGTATGGGCACGGATGATACTGTATCACAGCATGGTTATTGACATGGATTAGCATCTGGGCAAATGGCATGCCATGGAGCTTCAGGTCCTGTTTTGTAGATCTTAGTAATTGGTCCAAGGACCAGTGTTGCAGTTGCACCGGAAAAGTCTGGGGGAGGCTCCCGGCTGAGACTTTGTTAGTATCTCGAGATGTTGTGTATGTGTTGGTTGGGAGCATTATTTTTTTCCAAGACAGAAAAGAGAAGGAAAAAGAAAAAAAGAGTGTGTGGTGAGACAATGAAAGAATGAGCGCGTGGTTTCTGTGACGACATACGTCATTGACGACAAAGATGTCACGAGTTACCATGCACTGCGTTTGTTGACCTGGCGGACGTTGTGCTCCCCTCTATCAAATGAAATCCTGGTAAGCGAATTGGCTTGGCTTCTTCTTTTTGGCTTTCGTTCAATATGCACGGAATTTCCAATGGTACTGCACCTGAAAGAAGCTTCGAATCAGTGCCCTCGCTAACGTGCTACAGGGCATAGAGCTCTTCTGGACGTGCCCCGTGCTCTGGTTCAACAAGGGGCTCTGCCTTGGAAATACACAATTCAGTGATACAGTGCAAGGAGGCTCAGACTCAAGGTTGCGGTGCAAGCCATGAACTCACTCGTGTGGCACATACATGGAAATGCGAGCCTCATAATGTCGGTGAAGCTTTTATTCTTTGAAGGATTGACCATGTCGTATTGAGCCATCGAGATTGACGATTTTCTGTTAAATCCATCTACCGAGAGCTAACGCTCCTGCAATGGTAGTTCAGAGAGTCGGGCCCTGATTCATTGCCCTGAACGGCGCGTCCGGATGACACGGAGCGGACGATACGGAGGAGCGAGTCTGGACATGGGGGCAGGGAGTATTTTGGATCGTGAGGCACGCACGCAAGCAATTGGGGAAAGGCGCGAGAAGCTGAAGCTCTAGGCTCACTGTGTGTCACCGACTCGACTCCACCTCTCAGTTTGATGAGGTGAGGATGATTGATAGCTTTGGCACTTTTTTGTCCACATTATTTTTCTGGTCCAAAGCTGTTTCTGTTCCCCACGTCTCGCTTCGCTTGCTTCACCTCGTTCCTCCAGACCATGCTCTACATATCTAGCTTTCTTGATAATTCGTCATCGTGGATTAGTTGCTGATATCATCATCTTGTCTACCTCACCATTGAAGCAGTCAGCTTGGAAGTTTAACTGGGATGCACACTCCTCCCCACGAACTTTCAGAGACATTTCTGTTTTCCCCACCTCGTCCCAAGAATGCTCAGTTCACTTGGCGTGCGCCACGGAGACCTCTCATTCGATGATCTGACCCGGCCTTGGGAACAACTTTGGGGAGAGTGGCCTGTTTCTGTTTCTGTTTGACTTCCTAGGTTCACTTTTTCTGAATCCTCACCATGACGACCTGTTTATTGTCTCTGTGAATCTGTATAGACTTGACTTTCCCCGTTTCCTTTTTTGAATCTTTCTTCTTTTTCTTTCTTTTCTGTTTTCAGCTTGTAAATCATTCATTGGTGCTTCAAAAAAGCCATCTAGTCATTCATTCACTACTACATTCATTCATTTTTTTACTGCTTACAACTCTCTTTTGACTGTTTTCTATTTTGCTTGAATTATTCAGCCATTCATAACACCACTCGCTACTCCATAAACTACACACACTAAAACCTTCCGGCGCATCCTCAAACCGAAGCAGGCCAAACCAAGAGAGCCCCCCATCTGCTTGCTGCTCTAACGTTAACTTGATACCCATGCCCCGGTAGCGGTAGCATTGGATCTCCGCTTCGACTGTCGCCATCCTAGCAGTTTCGTTTTTTTTATCTGTCGATTCGCGTTTTGATACGACACCTATCTGCGCTACCGGAACTGCCTTGCTCAGATCATATCCACTCTCTCTTCAATCAGGTTCAGTGCAAATCATTTCTCACCAGAAACCTCATATCATCTCATTTTCCTTAAACAATTGTCTGTCATATGCTTTCATCGGCTTCCACGTTTCAATTGCCGATATTTCCCAACCCATCCCACGCTCAGGTTTCGCCTCTCACTTCTCCTTTGTCCCCCGCCGCCGCCATCTGACGTTTTCCTGCAAAGCATCCTTACACATCCGGTAACCATCAGCATCCGGTAACATCATTCATCTACAAACGTACATGCATAAGACAAAAAACCACACACTGATTATCAAATCGTCAATCTTTCTCTTCTTCTTTATTAGTCTTTCTTTCTATTTTCTTATATTATTGCCCGTCAAGCCCAGTTGTAAATCTTCAGCAAATCGGCAGACGCCAATCTCCGCCATCCCAACTCAAAAAACACCGCGAATCTACACACACAAATCCACAACACCAAGTCTTGATCTGGTTTGGTTGGGGGTCTTTTTTTGCCGCCGCCTCTGATAATCTTGGTGATTACTTCAATTCACGCATTTTGAGGGAATATCAAAAGCCTCTTCCTGTCGGATTGAACTGTAGCTTCATTTCATCAAAGCATCCTTCTTCTGCTTCTCTCCACTACTCCATACTCGAACTCGAGTTCTATCCACATCGATCCTACCCCCCAGAGAAAGCACAGCACAGAATTGTGGTCGTCCCCGACTTGAACTCCACCGCATGGAGAGAGTCTATCTATTGGATACTACACAGAATCAATAATACAATACAACAGAAGACACAAGAAGAGTACGGATAAGATTACTGTAACAGAACAGATATCTCGTAAGTGCACAACAGCCAGTACAGACAGACAGACAGAAGATGATGCCACCCCCTCCCTCTATCATAAACCCTACCATCCACTCCCTAACCCATCCCCCATCCCATCTGTGGCTCTGCCCATCCCAACCAAAAACTCGTTAGCCCACCCCTGGCCTGCAACTCAAATCCTGCCCACTGCTCATCCCTGCCCATTAACACCCACCACCATCCCAAAGAAACCACCACCAGACGGCCCATGCCTACGCGGCTCTCAACCTTGTAGCTCGCTAGCCTCTAGTCCCATGCCGCTCAGGCCGGGCCCCGGTGCTGCCCTCACACCTCTGGACAGGGCCAAGGCAGCGTAGAAAAGAGTTTTGTACCTTGGTTTTTTAATTGGGACCTGGGTGGGCTTGGCTTGACTTGACTTGACCTTGGGGTGTTCAATTCGCCTGCAGCGCAAGACTCAAAACCACCTGCTCCCCGCAGCACTCTTATCCTCGATTCCCTTCAGCATCTCCACCAGCTCTGATTGCTGTCGACGAGTTTATGACCACCGACTGACTGACTTTACTTCAACAGACTTCCTTCTCAAGTCTTTGTTATCAGCAGCCTCTTTTCATTGTATTTTGTTTTACTGTTTGGTCATTGATTGATTTTGTCTTTGTTGGTTTCTTGTTTCATGTCGCCATCGTCCTCATCCTCATCGCCATCATCGTCTCGACGAGCCTCCTAATCCGACGACTCTTCTCGCTCACGTTCAACGGATCCATCTGCTGTATCACTTCACTGTGATACCCTCAACCCAACCACCGTCAATTGCTGAACTGTACCATTCGTGGAAATCTATCTGCTCTGTTGCTGGAATATTGCCAGAGCATTTGTTTTTCTCGAGCTGTATCGTTTGCCTGCCTATTTTTTGTTGGGGTGCGCATTGATAATTTCATCGTGTAAGTAGTGCACTGCACCTTATCGTCCACTGAAAACCACCATCACTGCACTCACTGCACTCCCCTGTGGATGCACCTGGACCTCAGCACAGCACCGTCCTTTTGTTTCACTCGTCCTCTTATTGTCATCCATCGCAACAATCGTCAAACAATTAAAAACAATCGTCATTCTTCATTCTTCATTTTTCATCAATAGCCTGTGAAAGCCTTGTTACTACCAATTGTCCCCCATCAGCTCTATCTTTTCCCCCATTTCTTCGTCTAATTATGCATCGCCACAAAAATTCCTTGTTTCTTAACCATGCTAATCAGTGCCTTCCCCATTATTAGACCTGATCTCGATCACCTTCTGCGCCTGCCTTGATCTTCATCGCATACGCTAAGAGAAAGAGAAAAGAAAAAACCACTTCTCGCTGTAGCGCATTCCGCGCAACTGCCCTTGAATCTCTCCATCACGAGAAGAGAGCTTCTCATCTCGAAAACCTCATTTATCCACCTGGGTTACTTCTTTTACTTTATCCTCCACGTGGTGAAGCGAAGTTCCTGGCAAACGGCTTCCACGGAATAACCTCCTCCTCTCTTCCCCCCTTCTTCTCCCTCTAATCACCACACAACCCACCTTGGGAATGCCTTACACGCCGCCCTCACATCGATCTCCCGCTTCGTCAGCCTCCGCATCGCCTGTAGCGAGTCGGCGGTCGTCGCTACAATCGAGCCCGAGACCTAGTCTACCCCGATCTGCTTCTTATCTTACAAAGCATCGACGAACACCTTCAGCTTCAGCCCTTAGCGATGGATCAACAGGGACGCTGACACCGCAGGGAACATCGGAGGATCTTAAGAGCATGGGCACAGCTGTTCCTTCAAGCGTGAGACAATCACCACCACCCGTCACAGACGAACGCACAATGCCCATGGGTGCCATCATCTCGCCACCTGATTCTGCTTCCTCCGGTAGCGACGACGAGGAGCAAGAACCACAAATTCGAGGTCGAAAGCTTGACAAGGCTCTGCGGGACGCTGTCAGCCAGATCCCCATGCAACGTTCATCATCTCCCCCACGATCACAATTGCAGCATCAAGACAGCACAGAACATCTTCAGCTCCGCCGCAAGGATGGTGTGCATCTCAGCTTCAGCACAAGCGCACTAGGTGATCTCGCAAAGGGCCGTAAGATGGGACACGTTCGATCAGCCACCGAGCCAAACGCTGGCCTCTCCAAGTCAAACGACAACTCGATATCAGTATCAGAGGAGGAGTCTGACGAGGACCTGCTTAAGAAGCCTCAAATGGTGCGAAAGAAGTCTGGTGAGCTAGTCCGACCTGCCCTCCGTCCTTCTTCTCGACGACGTCCCTCAAGCATGCCCGGTACCCCCATCTTCTCCAAGGCTGTTCACTTTGATTCACACCTCGAGCACGTCCGACACTTCTTGCAAGTGGACCGACCTCTGGCTGTGAGTGCTGGATCTTCGCCAATCGACAGCTACGAGAGTGATACCGAGTATCCCTTCCCTGGCAATGGCAAGCAGACTGCCCGCACCCCTCCTTTTGAGTGGGAGATCCTTACCACAAACTTCCCTCACGACTCAGCCGCACGTAAGTCGTTGCCCGTTCGACTGGAAAAGGTTTGGCTCTCGGCCGACCAAAAGACCCTTCTGGGCTCTGTGGCAGTCGCCAACATTGCCTTCTCCAAGGCCGTTACCTGCCGTTTCACTCTGGATTACTGGAAGACCACCTCGGAGGTTGCCGCTGACTACAGCCACGAGATCCGCCCTCGGGAAACACCGCTGGGTCATGATCGCTTTACCTTTTCCATCAAGCTTGCTGACACGGCCAACCTCGAGTCAAAGACACTCTTCCTCTGCATCCGCTATGCCGTCAACGGACAGGAGTACTGGGACAACAACAGCAGCTCTAACTTCCAGGTCGACTTCCGAAAGAAGCATCTGCCCATGAACGGGAAGAACAACTTCCAGGGCGCCTCTTCCCGACCCGCTAATGGCCTTCCCCGGAGTAGCCGACGCACCAACAGCGCCAATGTCCCCCGACCCAAGTCGATGCCTGCTGGCTTCGGTGACTTTGGTGACGATGCTAAGCTCAACTTTGACCAGCCTATCCACGAGTATCTCGGCGAGTCTGAGAACAGCACTGGCGGCCTCCGTCTCAAGTCCAAGTCGGCTGGCAACCTTGCTAGCGATAACCTCTCCAAGGATTTTGGCTCGCCTAGCGGACTTGCCTTCTCCAACCGTTATGACTTTGGTGCTTCCTTGAGTGCTGCTGTCCAGGCCGCGAAGGACAAGGAGGCCTCTCAGGATAAGGATGGACTTTATATGAAGGCCAACGTCCGGACTCCCAAGCCCACCCTCACTGTCCCTGAGCCTGCCACCAACGCTAAGAGCCAGTCTACCACTGGAGCTACCTCTCCCAACTCGACCATCTCCAGCTCTTCGTATGAAGAGTTGGTCAACAAGTACTGCTTTGTACGTGCCCCCGAAGTTCGCCCTGCTTCACCCATCGCTTCTGGTGCCCGTCGCCCATCCCTGATTCACCAGAATCTCAGCATCAGTCTCCAAGGCCTACGGGATGGCACGGCGACACAGAAGCAAAATGAAAGAGTCGGTTACTAACAGTTGTTCGTGTTGCAGTTTGGATCAAAACAGTCGAGTCCTAACATGAAGGACGGTACACTCAGCGGTGCCCGCTTCGACGGTGCTGCCGGCGGAAATCACCATCGCCGCAGCTATACCACCTCACTTGGAAGCCCGAACGGAAATGCCCATCACGCCGGACCTGCAGCTCACCATACCCTTCAGTTGCACGGCGCCTTGAGCCCTCCTTCCGGTGCTTCAACACCACAGGATGCGTTCCGTGCCAACAGTACTTCGCCTTCACCGAGACCTTCAGCCACGGCTAGGTCGGCTTCACCCGCCTTCGTGTCGTTTGATGCTACACCATCCAACGATCTGTCGTACCATGTCCAGCAACAAATGATGGATCGGTTTCCCTGGTCTGATGGACATGCTGCTACGGCGATCCGAGGATAGAATCGTACCGGCGACCGTGGAATTAGGTTGGACTGTTAACATCCACCGGCAACACAGCATCAAGAGCAACCCAAGATTGCATTACTATCTTGATATCTAATAACCCTTCAACACTTATGGGACAAGACAACATCATGTTTGTCGCCCAACATCACTACTCTACCCCGGCTGTTTGATCCGAAACAGCACAGCCCTTTGACATACAGTCGCTGGGAATGCTTCTACGGCTGACGGCCACAATTGTTTGGCGTTTACGGTAATGGACTTGTGCTAGCCTGGCATGGCGAGCCGGGCATCCGCATCGGAGTTTGGGAGCCATGTTTACCTGCGAGTCCTGATTTCCTCGTTTGCTCTCGCGGAATATCACCCGCTTCTGTTTTACTCTTGTTTTTTAATCGGAATTTTCTGGCCATCATCACCGCTTCACCCCGACGCTTGCTTCTCGCCGTTGAACGGACAGAGACATTCTTTAATGCGGGTTTTGCGTGTGATGTGACAGACCATTGTGTTTTATCTTGACGTCTGCGGATAGTTGAGCGAAGCCTGGTTTTACGCGTGTCACGAATGTCTCCCGAGGCGTATGCCTAAACGATGACTTGATTGAATGCGAAGACTGTAATGGCGAATGGACAGGACAATTGGGAATGGATTCAAAAAAGTTTGCCTTCCGATGAATGCAATGCAATACGAAGGATTGTGTTTGGAAGGGAGGAAAGGAGTTGGGTCAGAACAGATATACATTATACTATACACTACAAAGCTGCCAGAATGCGATGCAGGTACAGCTCAAGAGAATCATTTGCACCTCTGACTTTTATCCCATGTTTGTGATGTGATTGTTGTGATTGACTGTAGCGATGAAGGGCTGGAGGTTTGATGAGGGGATCGTCAATGGGCTTATTGTTATTTACTTCCATGACGAGATTGAAGTGGTCAATACATAGTAATAGCTAATTTTAACTTCTTCTGACATGACGGTAAACTTGAATTGAGTCTCTCTTCGTACCTTATTCCGGAGAAATTGTTTGGCGAGCATCCAAGCCACGCACCGTAAGCTCGACAAGGCTCCTTGATTGGCCGGCTCGCCAACAAACAGTTCCGTCCTTTGTTCAGCCTTACAGGCAATGCCCTGGCCGTAAGCAAACACCCCCAAATCAGAATGAACCAGTGGGCCGCAGAGTCATCAGTGCATTGTATTGTTCTCTTCCTTCTGTCAGATGCTTTGAAGTGATTGGTCGGGTCGCCAAACATGGTTCTGGTATACTCAATTCAGAGCAGTGAAGCAGGGTCGTGATGCGTTTCATGGAGTCTGAGCCTCTTTGATGATGAGTGATTGGCGACACGATGTGTTGATCAGTGTTCTGGGGTTGAGCAGTGGGAGGATATAAGAGCGTGAGTTGATCGCTGGGAAAGAGGAGGAGTATCATTCCTCTCATACAGTCTTGTACAATCTTCTATTTTTGTTGGTTCTACTAGTTCGCAATGAGGCTTTCGAAGAGTCTTGGTCTGGCGTTTGGGTCGTTGGTGGCGGCTCAAGAGTGGGTGGCTGCGCCAAAGGGTCTAGAAGTCGTGTCGTCCAAGTTGTTCAATGGCGCTGAGATTTCGTACAAGAAGGTAAAGCCTCAAGCCTTTCAACGGCCTCAGAAGATGGAGTGACTAATAATTAAACAGACTTATGTTTGTGAGACTACCGAGGGTGTCAATGCTTACAGCGGCTATGTCTCGCTTCCTAAGAGTCTACTCCCTGACTTTCAGCATTGGGATGAGAAGCAGAAAGCCCATCTCTTCTTCTGGTACTTCGGTACGACGCCCTACTCAATACCATATAGTTTATATACTGATAGACCACAGAGGCCCGAAACAACCCATCCACAGCCCCAACATCAATCTACATAGGCGGCGGCCCCGGCTCATCCTCCTTCGACAACACAAACGGCTTTCCCTGCTCCGTAAACGCCGACTCCAACTCAACGACCCTCAATGACATATCATGGAACAGGCACGTCAACATGCTGTACATCGACCAACCGCTGGGAACGGGTTTCTCGTACGTCGATCTCGTGAATGGGACGTTTGATACTCTCACGCAGACGTTTACACCGGTGAAAGGGGAAGAGGTGCCCAAGACGAATGGGACGTTTTTGCAGGCGACTTTTGACTCGGGGGAGTTGGAGACTGTGCCGAAGACGACGATGAGTGGTGCTAGGACGATGTGGGCTTTTGCGCAGGTTTGGTTCAACGAGTATGTTTGCCTGTCGAGTTGTGTTGGAGTGTTGCTAACGGGTTAGGTTTCCGGAGTGGCAGACTAAGAATGATGAGATATCCCTCTGGACATCATCTGTAAGTCGCCTTCTCAACCTCAGGTTCTTAAACTAATATCTCCAGTACGGCGGCTTCTACGGTCCCAACTACTTCTCCTACTTCCAAGATCAAAACACCCTCATCTCCAACTCCAAACCAACCTTTGCAAACGCCACGATTCTTAACCTCGCGACTCTGGGTCTTCAAGAACCTGGTATCGACGCACGAGCTATGGCGAAGGGGTACGCTGATTACGGTCATCATAATAACTACGGTCTTCAATTCTTCGACGATGAGACGTACAAGGGTATGCTCCAGAAGATTGAGGAACCGGGGACGGGCTGTTATGCGTTGACAGATAAGTGTCGCGCTCTCGTGGCGGAGGGCGATCCTGAAAGGTTTGGGAATAACAAGACTGTGAATGAAGCTTGTCTTGCGGCGACGAATCTGTGCTTTTTTGGGATCCAGGGGACTTATCAGGCTACCTCCGATGTATGTACTCCTCTCCCCCATCATTTTCTACGACACATACTGACTTGAAGCAGCGATCGCCTTTTGACATCACGCACTCCAACACCACGCTCTTCCCAAAGCCTTACATTGAGAACTTCTTCAACCAACCGTGGGTCCAGCGTGATCTCGGAGTTCCGCTTAACTTTACCACTGGATTCAATAACATTGGGAAAGTGTGGTTGGGCCAGACGGGAGATATCATGATTGGGAGTCTTCATGCCGTGGAGAGGGTTGTTGAGCGGGGTGTTAACGTTGCGTTGATCTACGCTGATCGCGACTATCGCTGCCCTTGTAAGTTTTCACAGAACGTTCTTCTGGGGTGATTGCTAATTGGTAAAGGGTACGGTGGTGAGAACATCAGTCTTTCACTGAACTTCTCCTCTGCTGAAGAGTTCCGCTCCGCTGGATACACGCCCATCAAGACGAATTGCTCTTACACAGCTGGTTTCGTTCGCGAGCATGGAAATCTATCGTTTTCTCGAATTTTCGAATCTGGACATGGAGTAGCAGGTTACCAACCTCAGGCGTTGTCTATGATTTTCAACAGAGTCATGTCGAGGAGGGATTTGGCCACTGGGGAGGTTGATCTGAGGAAGCATACGGGGTACAAGACCAAGGGACGAAAGAATGTGAGGAGTGTGAGGAACAAGGTTCCCGAGTCGCCGGTAAACACGTGCTTTGTTAGAGATGCGCCGTTGAGCTGTACGGATGAGCAGTTGATGGCGTTGGCGGTGGGTAAGGCCAAGGTTGAGAATTGGGTTGTTGTTGAGCCGAAGGGGGAGAAGCCTAAGGCGATGAAGGTTGAGAGAAAGGGACGCTTTGTTTGAGGTAAGGGGATTGGATTGACATGCTTGGATTTCTAATTGACTGGGATAGGCATAGATTCACTTCGCTTCTATTAACTGTTGTTTATATAGAGATTTATTGACTTACACTGATTGACTGAAATGAACTGGGCTGCATGAAAGTGGATCAAAATAGCTGACGTCACATGCCAACTCAGCTCTGCCAGCTCAGCTCCCCTCAGTTTAGGACCCCTCATTCACTGTTTACCTCGCCTCAGCCAAAATAACCTTAACCTTAGCTTCGTCCTCCATCTCCATCACCAACTTTACTTCTGTCCTCTTCCCAAGATGTCCTCCCGCGGTGTCCCAGAAGTCCTTTTCAAAAAAGTAGACGAATACGTCGACTCCCTCGCTCCCCAGATCCAACCCCGCATCACCTCCGAGCTCGAGACCTTTCAGCAAAAGACCATCGACAGCCTCGAAGATAAAGTCGTCGACGCTTTCCGATCACTCTTCAACAAAGATAAGGATTCTTCTTCGAGAAGTCCATTTGATCTTAAGGATGATGCGCCGGATGCCTACGGTGGACAGAGTTTGCCGTTTGCGGATGAGTTGGCAAAGTTGACGAGGAGTTTTACAAAGATTACTGATGAGGCGGGGGATGATTTACGGGATATTTTCGATATTACGGAGGGGAGAGCCGGAGGACAGAGTGATACGAGATCGAGGGGAGGGGAGACGTCGCGGGGTGGTGCGAAGGGGTTCTTGTCGGCTGCTTTTGACGCGGTGCAGGATCATCTGGAGAACAATAACGGCAGGGGAGGAGGTCAAGGCTTTGAACTTGATGGTCTGCTAGGTGTGATTAGCAACACTGTCAAAGACGCCGCACGAAACCCAGAGGAGAAAGCACGGATGATCAGTCCCGAGATCAAAGAACAAGTCGGCGCCAAACTCCGCGAACAACATGCCCCGATCGCAGAGCAGTTCACGCGCATTGCTCTCGACCACATCAAGCGCTGGTTACGAGGAAATACGAGCACGAAAGATCTAGGCGATGGTGTCAAGGGCGAGATTGAAGATCAGGTTAAGGATCTTGTTAAAGGAATTGGAGGGCTGTTTGGGAATAATAAAAAGTCCAACGAAGGTTCGGCGAGAGGGTTCGGCGATGGAGATCGTGATGGCGAACGCGCTGATGGCGAGAGCGGTGGTTTCTCAAAAGTCATAAGCGATAAACTCAGCACAGGTATCGCAAGAGTCCACAGAGAAGTCCGTCTCGAGTTCCGAAAGATTCTCGGCGGTATTGAAAAGCAACTCTTCGAATTACTACCCGACCAGTTCCAACGTCCTCTCGAGAAAATCCTCGGCGGAAACCCTTTCGACACACAACTCGATCGCGACGCCGGCCCTGGCCATTCTGCGGATAGAGGGTTTGGGGACGATATCAAGGCGAAGCTGGTGAACAAGATTAGAGGGCTGGTGAGGAAGGTTCAGGAGACGCTGAGGGAGAGTATTCTGGGGGTTGTCAATGGTGGGCATAGGAAGTTTGAGAGGCAGAGCTGGGTGTTTGTGCAGAACATGGTGGAGATGAAGGTGCAGAAGTATCTGCCCAAGGTTAAGATCTCGGTGCCGGATGATATTGGGAATGAGGGTGTTAGTGTGGGAGCTCCGGCTCAAGCGAATCTTGGTGGTTCGAATGCGCCTGTGCCAGCTTCTCAAGGCGGACATTCGTCGTCAGGACAGGGAGGATACTCGTCGGGTCAGGGAGGCTACGAACGGCCGTCGGAGCAGCATGGAGGGGGATATCAACAGCCGTACACTCCTCCTTCGCAGTTTGGGGATAATCGACCTGATCACCAGCAGAGCCAGGGCTACAGGCCGCAACAGAGTCACGAATACAAACCTCCTCAGGGACAGGACTATAGGCCACAGCAGAGCCAAGAATACAGACCTCAAGGCCACGATGAGTACCGACCTCAAGGGCAACAGGGCGAATACCGACCACAGCACCAGTCCCAGCAGGATTACAGACCTCAAAACCAGGATAACTACCGACCCCAGGACGAGTATAGACCTCAGCAACAGCAGTCGCACCAAGAGTACCGCCCCGACCAATACCCTCCGCCGCCACAGCATCCATCAAGCCACTCTGGGAGCTACCAGCAGAACGAGGGTTATCAGAATCAGGGTTACCAGCAAGCTCAAGGCTACCAACAGAGCCAGGGCTATCAACAGAACCACGGTTACCAACAGAACCAAGGTTACCAATAGAATCAAGGTTACTAACAGAATCAAGGACACAGCCAGTTCCGGGGATATGGTCAAGACCCAGCCGTAACCAGGACTTCTGAGAATGTCAACGAAATGTACAACGAAATGACAGGCATGCTCAATGACGATAACCGATACGGCGCAAGAAGATGACGAGCTATCTCGCCAAGCGATACAGGGTTCCTCTACGCCGATGGCTTGGGCGACGCTAGGTAGATTGATGAATGAACGGCCATTTCCATGATCTGATCCGTCCCCTGTTCTTGAATTGACTCTATCAACATGCCGAACATTCCGTCTCCCCTCCCGCTGACAGATAACGCTCTAGAACGCCTCTTGCTACCGAGACCCTGGATTTGCCCCCACAGATCCTGAGTTTCATGGCTTCCGCCATCTACACTAAACCATCATATCATGAAAGTACCATGACAGAAAACCCCCGTCAATCCCACCATGTGAGACTTTCTATCCTACGACGTGCAGAATATACACCCAGGACCCTGCATCACGAAGATCTCAGCCACCATCTTCCCTTCGGATTGTGATATCACATGACATCCCGATATGCTTGGCACGGTGGTCTGATTGTGTTGTTACGTAGGAGAAAACTTTGGAGCTGCGAGTGATATGATATGATGCTTCCACGTGCCTGGGATTTCGTCACAACGGCATGATTTTGGAAGACCGAGGTATTCGTTCTAGCGCTGGGATTTGCCAGTGGTTTTGTTCTTGATAGTTACACACCTACGGTCGAAGTCCGAGATGTGCATGGCATTCTGGAGCATGGCAATTGCGCGATGGCTTCAAGGGTTCTTGATTTCAGGGTCCTGGGAGTGTGATGGAATCCTTGTAGAAAGGTTCGGGGGTGTAAGGGACCTTTGTGGAGGGAAGAGATAACTTCAGCTTCAAACTCACGATCTGATCATGTTGGTGTTTTTGAAGAGATCCGCGGATGACGCGAGAGTCCGATGATGGGAGACGTCACGGGGATATGTCATGGGAAGAACGAAGCCGTGATGTTCCGTCCATGATATGAAATTCGGGCGGGCAAGCAAAGTATCGCGGGGATGTCTTGGGCGGCTTCAAGGCAGAGGCTCTGCGCTTCTAGGACTTCATCGTTAACTTGAGATAGTGGCGACAAGCTGTGTGCTCTAGATATGTAGCTTTGCTAGCTACTCAGGATCAAAGAAGTTCAGTTAGTCCTCCAGCTACCGGTATTGAGCGCTCTGAGAGATGCATTGAGTACTTTCCCCTTGGTTAATCTCTTCTCTGCCAAGTCATATGTCTCTATACGCGGATTTATTGTTCGCATCTGCTATTCCTCTATCGAGGTGTTTCCTTGATGTAGTTTGAGTTGTCTCCTTGGCAAGTCCCCTTTGGAAGAGCTGCCTCATACTGCACCAGCTTCCTCGCGCTTTGAAACGAGGGCCCGAGTTCTTCAAAGCCATTGACTTTTCTATCCCTAAACGCAACGCATAGATGTTTCGTTGTAACGTCAGAACACTTGATGGACACGCTCTTTTTATTAACATTACTATATCCTCCTCTAACCTTCCATCTCACCTCTCAACCCACAACCCCCCATTCCCATAAACCTGATCCCTCAATACCCCAGCCTCACTCCTAACTCCAACCCAATGCTTCGGTATCCTATCCATCTGACTCTGCACCACCCCCGTCGCATCCCCCAACCTCTCCTTAAACCCCTTCTCGCTCTTCACAGCCCTGACCGCCGAGACAGAAACTTCTGGGCCCCAATTCTCCCGCCCTAAACTCGCTGTCGTGGTCATGACATCGCGCGTATGCTCTTCCAAGAAAGCTTCATTTGTGAGGTTGGGAGAGGAGGGGTGCAAGTGCCCCATCAGCATGACTTTCATGCGGAGGTCGAAGAAGAGTGTGTCAGAAAAGTCGTGGAGGATGTGCACTGTTACTTTGTTCCGAAGAACTACCCCGGGAGGGGCGTTGCGGAGGGGTGCGATTGTGACGATTGCTTCGTGCCAGTCGTCGTCGAAATCTTCGCTTTCTTTGGGTGGGAGGACGCGTGCCCATGCGGCAAAGACACCGCCCATTCTCATCTTGACCTCATCACCAACCTCACTCAGATTCGCCGTTGGAACACCCAACTCGCGAGTAGAAATGCCCGTTCCTCGAACGACCTTGCCCGCAAACTTGAAAGGAAACGGCGCCTCAGGTCCCTCGTCACTCCCAAGTATCGTCAACGGCTCCATTGCTTCTCCCGATATCAACGGATCATAACGTCCCGCCTTGCCATTCTTCCAACTCTCACTAACTGCATTCCCAATGCCACTTCCATGGTACGCTTTCGTAGCGACTTTCTTGATAGTAGCGTTCGAAGGCGTGAGTCTTTTGGCCCCCTGTTCGACGACTGCGCCTGCGACGCCGGTGTACTTCTTTGCAACCTGTGAACCAATGGTGCTAGCGACTTTGATGCCCATTTCCAAGGGCATAGTACTTAGACTTGAACCACGAACGGTGCTTACGTCTGTGGATGTGCTGGCGATGCGGAATACGGGACTCCCGCAGAGGACCTTTTTGCCATCGGAGTTGGAGCAGAGAACGAGGCGGAAGTAACCGTCTGTTGCTGCGGCGGGGATACGGATGATGTGTGTTTCTCTCGGGAGGTGTTTCTTCATACGCCCCGAGGCTTTTTTAACGAACCGCTTGAAGTCGCGCTGGATACCGCGTTCTTCTGCTTCAGAGATATGTTCCACGCCTGTTTTGGTCGCGGGGGTTACATCGATCCAAGTACCAGTTGTTCCCATCATTGCTTTGAGCGTCATTCCCATGTTTCCTGAATATCCCTTTTGCTGTAACCACACAGTTCTCGTGGGTGGAAGAGGTTCATCTGAGAGGATGGTGATGGGTACTGAAGTCGCTGGACCTCTGTACCAGATTAGAGCATGAGAGTGACGAATGATACTGAAATGCTTGTTGGACTCTGCGGGGTGACTTATAAGGCCACCAGCGAAATACTGGGCTTCTCCAAGTGCAGCTTTCCATTTCGACGAATCCTTCGGTTTGTCTTCTTGAGCATCCAACCTCGCTGATAGAGCAGATGAGCTCTTAACTCTTCTAATCTCATTTGACGGCGCAGGACTCAAAGGGCCCGGAGTGAGTGACGTTGGACTTGGAATCTCATCAACCACAAAATCAACCTGGTAGTTCCCCCTCGGGTCCAAAAACCCCGACTGCTGCGGTGCATGAGCGCCAGTGAGGTTCGTCGCCGAGCGGACCGGGCGCAGAGGCCGTGGAGGCGGAGGCGGTGCTAGGCCGGCGCCGAACTCGGGACGGTAGGCACTGTATTCCGGGGGCGGGGACGGAGTTGGCTGTGCGATGGGGGCTGGCCGCGTGTAGTAATTTGGGTCAGACCATTTCTCTGCGTCCGGAGTTGGAGGGAAATACGGATTCATCTTGTCATTAAGAGTAGAGGATTAAAGAGGGCTATTTGGTTTGAAGTTCAAGAAGGGAGAGGAGAGGTATGTAAAAGATGAGCATACGTGTTGGGTGGCCAAGAAATTGCACCGTGTGGATGGTCAGGGGGTTAGACTGCACACAGTATTCAGATAAAGAGTGTTTCTACGAGTGTTTCGACACCAAAACCGGGATAAAAGATTAAACATCGACAGAAATCGCGGGGATGATATTTATAGAATATTTATTGGTCTATTGATCATCTCCCAAATAAGCTTATTATGTTGGGGCTCGCTTCGCTCTAACTTCCAGAAACCAGGGCCTCCATCTCATCAGCTTCCCTTGGTACATCAGTCAGGTTCTCAGAGCCAGTCTTGGTGATGAGGATGTTGTCCTCGATGCTATCAAATACCGGTTAGCAAATTGCTTCGATAGCGCGACGGTGGCCACCAGAGCCATAACTTACCGAACTCCACCGACATCCCAGTACTTGTCCAGAACGTCCTTGTCGATGAATTTGCTGTGCACGGGGTCCTCGAGGTAAGGGTCGATGATAAACTTGCAGAAGTAAATCTAAAAATGTCAATACCCGTTCAAATGCGCCGTGAATGTTACTTACACCAGGCTCGACAGTGACAACGCTGCCGCTGGGGAGAGTGCCCCGCACGCGTAGGTAGCGGAAGAGCTTATCCTTGTCGCCAAAGTTGGGGTTGCCGCCGGTGTCGTGGGTGTCCATGCCAAGGTAATGACCTAGACCGTGAGGGAGGAAAGCAGCGCTCGTGCGGGCCTTGAGGATTTCGTCCTTGTCGCCCTTGAGAATGCCAGCTTCGAGGAGGCCGTCGATGGCGATCTTGTGGGCGAGCAGATGAACATCGTCCCAGACAACACCCTCCTTGAGAACTGATATACACTCCTTTTGCATCTTGAGGACGGTCTCGTAGATGTGGCGAGACTCCTTGGTGAACTTGCCCGAGAGAGGGAATGTTCGTGTCTAAACGGTCAGCTCAATCCAACCCAGGATCTTATGTACTCACAATATCAGCAGCGTAGTTGTTCCACTCGCCACCAGCATCCATCAACAGGTTGAGCTTGCCCTCCAGAGGCGCGTTGTTTGGGACGTAGTGCAGCGTAGCAGCAGCTCTTCCAGCAGCAGCAATAGGATCATACGACATCTTCTTAACACCATAAGAATAGCATCTCTCCTTAAAGGCCGCCTCAAACTCCTGCTCGTTCTTGGCAGTCTTGGCCCTTGCAAACACAGCGCGATGTCCAATGCCAGAGATATAGTTTGCCTTTCGTAGCATAGCAACCTCGAACTCGTCCTTGACCACTCGCGAGGTCTCAATAGCTGTCTTCAACACATTGAAGTTCTTGTTGTCGAAGCCGATGAAGGAAACGTGGTCGGAGACTTGGTTCGCGATGGCAAAGGCTGATGACTTGGGGTTCTCGGATCCGAGGTGTGCGAGGGTAGCGTTGAGTTCGGTGGTGAGCTTGACTTCGTCGACGTCGTACTGCGCGAGGGCCTCGTCGATGCTGACGGGGAGACCGGACCAGATGACATCGTCGGGGTTGATGGGAGGAATAAAGAGCGTGGATTTCGCGGATTGGATGTCGTAAACGAAAGCGCAGTCGGGGAGGTTGCAGCCGGTGAGGTAGTAGAAGTATCGGCGCTGACTGGGGGATCAAAGATTAGATGATGTTTTGGAGATAAGGTGGGATACGCACCGGAAGGGCTCGGGCTCGTCGCTATCTTCCATCATTCGAGTAACTTGACTCTCAAGGTATAGAATACCATTGGCATCAGGGACATCCTTGCGGATGAGGTCCACGACACGTTTGGCATGGTCTTTGCCTGGGTATTTGCCCTTGAGGACAGCCTCATAGTTTTCAGCGACCATGGTGATAGCTCTTGCGTGGGGTGTTCGCGATAAGAAACGTGGTCGCGTGGATGATATCGGATTCAGACGTCGCACTTCTGTATACAGACTTTGTCGCGCTGACCTTGCAGTCTTTGTAGAAAGTGTTCGTGTTGTTGCTTGAAAAGAACAAAGATGGAGGGGAGATTTGAACAACCCCGCTATGGACCTCGGATTCTTGGTCATGACGGAGGTGCATTTCACAAATTAGGAAGCTCCAGTGGCTGCATTCACTAATCGCCTGCCCGTTACAGGGTCCCAAATGTGGGGTTACGGCTGACAACGGCTTCTGCAGGTAAATAAAACTTGATAATGAGCTGATGGAGATTTGAGATGGGAACCTGACGGATGAATTAATGGTCCGTTTGAACAAATAACGAAATGTATTAGCTGCAAAGTAGACTATGTACAATAGATACTGAAAGAATAATATGCGACAGAAGGTGGAAGAAGGCATCAAGCCGATTCTGAGAGAAACTCGAGAATAGCATCGTAAGTGACAGTGTGTGAATATCCAAAGTTCAATCCGTGACCTGCACCTGGCACAACGGTTGTGTTGAATCGCGAAGCTTGTGTAAAGAACTGTCTCGATATGTCGAGTAATGAGGGCAGCTTGGGGTCTACGCTGCCTGTAGAGTAGCAGTTATCGCCACAGAAAGGTACATCGCGTGCTGCAACTATTAGCTTTGCTCTGTTCCATTCAGAGTGAGGTTGACTTACAGCCAGTCACGATCTGGACAGGACCAGTGTATGTGTTATTCTTCCCAGCTGGTGCTCCCAATGTAAGAAGTTCACCAGGCGAAACAGGCTGGCCCTTCTCATATGCCACTTCCAGAATCTTGGGGTCAAAGTCGCCCTCTGCAAAGAAGTTGATCTGTATGCCCACTGTAGACGACACACCGACGTAGCCAGCGGGATACTTATCGGCGAGAGGTGTAGCAGTAATAGGAATGAAGTTGCTTCCAACTGCGAATAGCCCCAAATAAGCAGTCGCCTGCGAAAAGCCCGTCAAGACAACAGCATCAGTGAGTTCAGGACTCTCATTCGCGAGCGCATAGCTAATGACCGACCCAAACGAATGCCCCAAGTGAACGACCTTGGAGTACTTGCATCCTACCCCAAGAGATCCTTCACGAGCTTTGGTAGTGAGGGCCTTGAGAGCTGCAATCTCAAGGTAAACCTGGATCTCGTTCAATGGATCACCCTTGGAAGAAGCACCGACTCCAAGACGGTCCCAGGTAAGAGTCGAGTAGCCGTGCTCATCGACTGCGCGCGCAACATAGCTGTAGTTGTAGTTGTTGTAAGGAAAGTCCCAGTAACTTCTATCAAAGCCGATGCCGTGCGTCATGATCTGAAGTTCCTTTCCAGGACCGGCATCGGGTTCGCAATATGTAGCGGTGAGTTCATAATTACCCGAAACAGTGGTAAACTATCACCATAAGCTTGTATCAAACCATTGAGCGCATATATGACTTACACCCTTTTGCACCTGTTCAGGATATGGAGGTGCACCCTGACGAGCGAGATTGACAGCAAGGCTCGTCACTTCAATACCCGTCAACGGCGCCTCAATGGTGAAAACAGCATTTTGAGAGGTAAGTGACACAGGGACTGTGATGTTTGTGCACTTTCGCGCCGAGGCAGCGGTGATGAGAGTGAAGAGAGCCAAAGACTTGATCATCATGACGACTGTAACTGTTTTTGTCTAAGCAGTAGCAAAGATGGAGAGACAATCTCAAGCCTCTGAGCGATGATCTGTGTATCTTTATATGGGAAGAGGATATGCATGTCTTAATTACAAATTTCTCCTGTATCCGCTGACCGGTCCTGCAGAGCTTAGCTGCATCTACTAATTTGTGTTTCTTGTTGCATATACATCCTTGTAGATATCATCTTCGATCTCACTCCGGAGGTCCGACCATAATCGGCAATGCTACCAAACTCTTACCTGCAATGCTACGGAGGTAGAAAGAAAGATCACGCTTCTTTGTGAATGATGCTTAGATACCATGTTACAGTACCGCGGCACTCGACACTAGCGGAGAATTTAATTCTAAACCCACGGACGCTATCCAATGGGTCGTCTATTGAGATCTTCACTCGGTAGAAACGACCTATCCGCTGTATCCATCTTGGCAAAAAACATGTGTTCTGGGAAGGCCAATCGGTGCAAGTTAGTAATTCTCGGTGTAAGTGAGTAATCATCCCTTCCCCTTGCAGAGCCTCTTGACGTGATAGATGCAGTGAGATTGTTAAACCCCAACATGTCATGTCATCGGGGACCATCGTTTGCATTATGATGTAACCCTTCTAGCAAACTCAATTCACTCTCAGACTTTCACCTACTAAACTTTACGTGTGTGCCGAGCAATGACAAATATCTTACCAATAGGACAGTGAGCCTGGGAGGTGAAGTCATCTGCCGAGGGCTCCATCCCTTGCATTGTGATAGTCAGAGTCTCAACTGAGACAGACACACCGACCGGTACGGGGACTTTTTGTTCTAGCGTCGAATAGAATCATGGATGGGCATAATACAACGGGTTTAAGCGTTGTCTATTGTTTTATGACGGGACAGGGTCTGAGTCGAGAACATGTATGTCTTGAGTGTTGTCTCGTATAATGGCCCGAAAGAGAAGCAATGACAAAAGGCTGAGATGCAGCCAATAGGCACAGGGCGGGCAAGCTGCATTAGCACCAGATCCAAACAGGTGTAACGTCTTACATTGCTCCAAGGTAAGCAGATTGACAAATAACAAGCATGGATCTATTTGCAATACTTCTTACAGCTCATCCTTCTCATCCAGCTCATGCTGTAACTGCATCGCCATCCCAATAGCTGCAAAACCACCCATATGCATCGCCTGCAAAGCACTCCTCATAACAGTCGCCGCATCACCAAACGCAAAACACCCCTTCACACTAGTCTCGTTCATCGGCACCTCAACTTTGATATCACCCGTCGGCGTCGTCTCCAGCCCAAGCTGCTCTGCAAACGGCGCTGCTTGTGCGACATTGGGATGACTTACCACGAAGCCTTCGGTCTTGGAGGAGCCATCCTCAAAGGTGATTTTAACAGAGGGACCAGAATTAACAAGGGCGAAGGATGTGATCTTCCGGGTGTCGAAGTGCACTTTGCTGCTGTGTACTTTTGTCTTTATGGTTGAGGGGAGAGAGGGGTCGCCGTTGGTGTAGATTGTTACGGACTGGGAGAGGCGTTTGGCCATGGGGGTTACGTGCGCGAGCATGTCGGCGCTGGAGAGCATGCCGCCTGCGAAGACGCCTACACTCTCTGCTCCTCGCTCCTCAAAGCCATGGCAGTAAAGACAGTGGAAACTTCAAAGTTAGCGAGGTGCGTTCACAAAGCCAGAGATTTACTTACATTCCCTTTCCCCAGCACTCAGCATATCCGTTAGGCTGCTCCTCAACAAGATCCTTCACCCCGGTGCCTAAGCCGAGTTTCTTTCCCTGATAGACATTGCCATCGTGATCAACCGCTTCAAACACACCAGCGTCTGTTTTGCGAACGGTTGCGATGGTTGTGGACTTGAACTCAATGCTTTCGTACCGCTTTTCAAGATCGTCACGGGCTTTTTTGCGGAAAACGGAGGGCTCAACGTGATCGAAGCCGAGGACGTTGTGCATGTGTTTTGTAGGCGCGTTGCGATAAACGCCTGAGTCGAGGATCAGGGCTGTGTAGACTTGACGGGCGAGGGCGGATGCCATGGCGAGACCGCCTGGGCCGCCGCCGATGATGAGGACGTCGTAGAGCTTGGATGACATTGTGGTTGTATGAGAGACGGAAGAGGTTCAGAGGTAATTTGTGACTGTTATGGGGTAGAATAAGAGTGTAGTTGCTCTTTGGCTTATATACACTCAGCGGAGAGATCCTGAATATCTCCGGTCGGAGACTTTGATGATGGGGCGGAATCATCTAGAGGTTGGATGAAAAAAAGTGCCGCTGACTTGGGGCACGAAGTATCTCCATCTGTACTGAGTCTGTGGCCATTTATGATCTGATCATTGTTCTCAGCTTAACGCCGTTGGTTGTGTCGACCGATAGAAGACGCCCAAGAGTGAGGTCGACGTTAGTGTCAACGTCAGCATAGGCATACGTAGCTACGATAAGATACTAGTCATCAATCTCTTCGAAACTTTTGCCCTTTTAGGACTTATTGATGGTCAATTGAACTAGATCAGGGACTTTTGGGGTTTGGGGGGTCCCTTGTTGGTGATGTTGGTGATCAGCCGTGTGTGTGGATAAGCAGCATGCATTGAGCGAACAACTACAATAAAATAATCGCATTCGCACCCACAGACCCAGGTTTTTCAACGATAGTTCTACAATTCCTGCGCGATCAGGCTGAATAAATAAGACCCAGAGGTCATGCCCAGGGACGACGTAGACAGAGACAAGTCGGGGAGATCTTACACGGTGAATATATCATAAGCATGGCAGGCAGCAAACACATCTCACGACATCATTATCATCGCAGAAGCATATTAAAATCAGAAGTTGAGGAGATAGTACAGGTTCAGATCAAGGCTGAACCATCAATTGCGCTATATAAATAACAATATCCAAAGTCCCGTAGGACCAATCCAAAACAAAAACAGCACTCGTTTCAACTATGCAAGCAGGTCGCTACCCATAATAAGTAACTCCATCGCGATGCTCAAGCATTCCTGCGAGCACCAGCGCCTCACCCCAGTTCAGAAACTCCCAGGCAGCGCCAAGTTTAATGAGGACCAGTCCGACGATGAGGCTCTCCCATCGCTATATCTTTGCTCAGAACCACAAAACTGCAGTTTGCGTATTCCGAGTTCGGACCTGCTACGAGTCGTCACCTAGCACCACCCACGTCTCTGAACCAGGCGTAGCTGCACTATCTAGAAATTCCCGCTGAGAGGGTAAATCGTCGAGTTCGCTGTCGGAAAGACAATCGTAGTCTGAGATTAGATCGGGGGGTTGAGACGTATCAACGTCGAAGGAGGGGTTTGAACCGTCGAGTTCGTATATCACGCGCAGAGGAGCGAAGCTGCGTGTGGGTGTGGTGGAGGGGACTGTGTCGTCCGAGGAGGAGAGGATTTGAGCGAGGGCTTGGGAGCCGCCGAGGTCTGTGAAGGAGAGATCGAGATGAAGAGGCTGGTTGAAGCTAAAGCTCTGAGCGCGCTTCTTGCGGGATTGCTTGGCTGGGCGGATGGAGTAGGTGGGTTCTTCGTGCTTGATACTGTCAAGATTGAAGCCCTCGCCCCTGATCTGCTCGTCGTCGTATAGCAGTCCCATGCGATACAGCTCAGCGACTTCATCGTCCTCCGTCATGGGCATCTTTCGTCCAAGGTACACATTCCCCCTCGCAGTCGAAGCATCGCGAAATGCCTCCTCCCTCTCAAGCGTAGGTCTCCTCACGAGTCGAAAGCGGTCGACAGGCAGAGAGATCCTGCTGTTCGCTAGATCTCTCCCCTCGACCTCATCGGAAGAACCACCAAGACTGGAGTGGTCATGTTTCCGGGCCATGCGGTTCCGATGAACGTGTGTCCATCGTGGATTCGCGCGCTGCAAGTTCCCCGTCGAGATCTCGTAGTGCAGGATCTTTTCGAGCTGAGGACGGCGCGCGCCTCCGTTTGTGTTTGTACTATCCTGTTGTCCACAGCGCAGACAGTGCGTTTCTCCAAAACTTGAAGTCGTGCAGGGGAAACCGGTGTCGCGGCACAGGTTGGCGCCTTTGTGTTGGGACTGACGCTTTGCTGTGGCGCGAACGAAGTGGTTTCGACTTATTTGGGCGCGGGTCTTTAATGTGCTGGGAGGATTGATATGAAAGTGCTTCGCAGCTGGAAGATCTCCAGAGCTGTTGAGTAAGACATCCATGATGGGCTGGGGACGTATTATAAGTAGGTTAGATTGATAGAGGTTTGTACAAGTGAAAGGTATTATGTTGTCAATAAAGATGTTATGTTGTCAAGAAAGGCGCAAAGTTGCGTGCTTGAACACTAAAGGGCGCGAAATTAGGGAATATGAAAGAGGTGTCTGGAAGAGTCGAAGGCTGGAGGGTGTATTAATACGATATCATCTCATCCGGGGCGATATCGTCGTGATTGGCCGCCGGAGGAGTCATATGGACTGCGGATGGCGTACTACCAACCTAGACTAGGCTCTTACATTGTATTACATTACGATTACGGCCTTTGTCTCATGCCATGTCTTTGTTATGAGCAACAACAAGTACAGTGCTGCCTCGGCCTAGTCCCTAGTTGTGACGTGACTCATATTGCATTGCTTGCTTGATCCGGGCGTCTTACAAGGCCAAGATAACCGAGGTGGCGCAGCGAATAAGACAAAACTTGGGGTTTTCGTTGTTGGGGGGGAGCCTTATCGACGAGGCACAGGGCGAGGCGCATGATGGTTTGATTGACAGGCAACGTCCGTGTGATGCGGTTCTGATTGGTTGGTGGGTGTAGGACTCATGACGATAAGGAGAAAGAAGAGGGTGTCGTCATTTGCAGAGGTATCGAGTCGCTGTGTTATAGTGCATTGATACCTAGAGCTGCCTAGAAGGAAGTGTGTTCTACCAAGGTTCTTTTCTTGAATGAGTTGTGCCCGATGACCAAACTGCATGGATGAAGACAGGGAATCACAACGATGATGTTACTGGACAGTGCTCAATGCGGGTGACGACGAGAGTGTTTGATCGCCGTGGAGCTGTTTTCGGTTTGTTGCCGCTGCAGAAACTGGGTTAGCCAACGATAACGATGAGACAGGATCACGGTGCAAGATAAGACGGTTTCTGTTGGAGGAGCTTGTTTATGGGGTGATAAGACATTTCCCCAGTGAGGATATCCCGATAACACCCGGATGTTACGGCGGCTGGACGGACGTGCCGGGAGGCTGTAGAACACACTCAATATTACACTTACACTGTATGTCGACATTGCTTTCAAATCTTGTGATTGACTGCATTTCAGCTCAGGATCAATATTGCATTTTCTCTAACCGCTATCACCCTCAAACAGGGCATACAAGATGAATGTGCAATGCCCAAAGCAGACACTCACATAACCGTAGGGTAACACTCACCACTCATCATCCAACTCAGAGCAACCATCACTCATCTGACTTGACATCCATTTCCTCGAGATACTTCCTCACATCAACCATCTCAATCCCCCTCTCCTCATTAAAACTCCCACTCTTATCCCACGCAACCCCACGGCCCTGCGCAAACGTATCCCTATACTTGACCATCACGCTCGGCTCGCTCTCCATCTGCCTCTTGAGCTCCTCCAGATCCCACACCTCCCGCTTGAACTTGGTGTCAAAATGCTCATCTAGTAAATCTGCCAGTTCGCCGTAGGATATAGTATCTCCCGCTGTGTACACAACTTGATGCGATATACCCCGTGGGTCGAGGATTATATCCGCTGTGACGCGCCCGATGTCAGTAGGTGTTGTGACGGTAATTCTGTTATCCCAGCTTCCAAGTGCTCTGACGATCTTATTCCCGAGATCAACGACCCCAAAGTCTGGGAGGAACAAAAAGCTCATGAACAGTCCAGTTGACACAATCGTCCAATCAACGTCCCTCTGCGCTCTTAGTTTCTTCCGGACCTCTAACTGCTCATCGAATAAATCCTGCGAGCTGCCCTCCCCAATAACATCATAGTCCATCCCAAACTGCCAGGGAAAGAATCTCCTAACGCCCGCTTTAAGCACAGCGTCTAAAAGCTTGAGCTGCGTTCCAGACGGTAATCCCATGCCATTACAAGACACAATAACATCGTATTTCTTAAAGATAGACGCTAGGTCTTCAACGCTCGCGTTGACGACATCAGCTGCTTCAAACCCTGCGTTGAGGGCACGAATGCGCTGGACTAGTTTCTTCTTCTCAGGAGCAGCGGAATCAAGAGTTGCTTGACGAAGAAGAACGGAATAGCGTTGACGCTTGGGGTGTGAGGTGAGGGCCTCGAGGACAGAGAGGCCTAGTTCCCCGGCGCCGAGGATAAGGATGTTTTGAGGCGTCATGGGTACTGGTATGGATGGGTCGTTGAGACGATTGAGGGCTTGCAAGTTCTCGATGGAGAGTTCAAGAGGCGTTTCGGGCGTCATATTTAGAAGAAGTAGTAGTATTTTAGGCTATAGTTTAATTTTGTGCTGCATTACGTCGTGAATACAACCTTTGGAAGGGACGAGAATTGAGGCTGCATCTGCATCTTGGCGGATCCTTTGCGCGGGGGAACGAATGACCTTGGCGTTGGGTGTAAGCAATTCCTCTATCTCCATGTCAAACTCCGAGAACATGAAGATATTCCGATTTTTATTATTGTATTTGTAAGAACAATAGACTTACATCATCAATAAACAAGGTTAAGTGCCAAGATCCTTGTTGGTCAATGATCCACATTACTCACTCAATATCCGGCACTCGAATCATCGAATTCCAACGACAAGCCATGTTTTTCAAGCCAGGGGCAAACATGACAAATGCGGAATTTTGATGGAGTTTATTTCATTTTCTGTCCGACGAGAAATTCAAATTCATACGAAAAAGGCCTGGTCGGCTTTTTATTAGACTTTCAGCTATACGGTAGTAAATGCAGGCACCGGTTTATCCAACAAGAACGCCCACGCTTCCCAATGCAGCAACGAAAACAATGATGATTTCACGACTCTAGGAAAAATAGTAGTGGCCTAGCTAAGGTAGAAGTGAATGAGGGTCACGAAAGAACGGTGGTTGAATGAAATAGCCTTATGACTTGATTGTGAGTTTGTTGGCGAATCCAACACGTTGACCCTTGAGGTCGAAGACGACGAACTGCGCCTTGAGGAGGATGTCGCCCAGAATGGCGAATCCAATACCGTCGGAGCTCTGGATGCCACCGTAGCAGACAGTGTTGGTGAGACGACCGTAGTTGATGTAGTTTCCGGGGACTTTGCCTTGGTAGCTGCCGAAGCCAAAGTAGAAGCTGGGGAGCTTGGATGTGCAGGGGAATACCCAGACACCGTAGTCTTGGTCGATGTAAGCGCCCTTGACCTTTCTGTAGTAGAAGTTTGTCAAAACGCCGGGCAGAAGAAGAAGTGTGGTGCCAGTGTCGACGATGGCTGAATAGTTGTACTTGTGCCACGGTGCACCCGCAGCGATGCGGTAGCCCTCAATGTTGATCTGCCACCAAGGACTGCCCTTCTTGACCTTGGCGAACTGAATGCTTCCGTAATACTCGCCCTGGTCGATGTAGCCAAAGTTGTAGTTTCCAGCCTTGCCCTTCTGCAGATTGGCGGTAAAGACTGGAACTGCTAAGTTGTTCTGCACGTTCTGGAAGTAGGTGTTTTGAGGTGTAGGTCGGACAGTGTTCAGGCTTGACATGGCGAGACCCATGATGCCGTGCGAGAACTTGTCTGAGGCGATACCATCCGAGACTTCAGTGGCAGACTCAACGGCCTGCTTGTTGACATAGGTCTTTCCGACTTGGACCTTGTCGGTGTAGACAATGCCACTGGCGCCAGTGCCATCGCCGTATCTAATACTCCAAGTCTGACCGTTTAGTCGCTTCGAGGTCGTCGACTTGTCTGGCTTGTAGAGAATGTGACCAGCTTGGTCAGGTTGATATGTGTCTGTAGAAAACACCCAACTGCGACAATTAGCAATGCTCCTTTTTTGACCAAAGACAGGCAACTTACAGATCAGATGAGCCAGTGTCAAAGTTCAGATATGTTTGTTGAGCTGGAGTACCAATCTTGACAGGAACTACATACTGTGAATCGTAGTACTGAGGCGGTGTTGCCGAAGCAGTACCCTTCATTCCTGGCGAGTGTTAGTCGTGTTCATTGACCCGAGTGACGAGACTAACCAAGCTTGTTTTTGATGAGGTCAGCCTCATGTTGAGCAATCTTTTTGAGCTTCGGGGGTAAAGGCTTGTGATATTTGTTGTATGCCTGGATGAGGGCAATTTCGGCATGAGGCTTCTTGTAACGCGTGTTGGTGAGTTGGTCCATCTTGACCTTTTCTCCGCCAGCTCTAGGCTTGAGGTGAGCCGAGTCGGGATCATTCTCATGATCAATAGCTCGACCTCGAAGCGTCTTGCCAAGTTCCTCCTCTTCTTGTTCCTCGGGATCAATATCCCGCTCTTGCAGGCCTTTAACTCCTTCAACCTCTGGATCAACAGCGTTGGGTGAAAGAGGATTCTTGACCTCATAGATATCGCCACGTGCCTCTAAAGGGTCGTTATGGGATACATCCCTGGGTTTTATGTCCCGGTCTTGTAAACCCTTCACACCTTCAACCTCAGGGTCAACAGCATTAGGCGAGAAGGGATTCTTGACCTCGTACACGTCGCCACGTGCCACGAGGGCTTGATCTCCCTTGGGGTCTATTGCCCTTTTTTGCAGACCCTTTACTCCTTCAACTTCTGGATCAACCGCGTTGGGTGAGAATGGATTCTTCACCTCGTAGACATCGCCACGGATTTCATGAGGAATACCCGTACTACAGCCGGCGAGGAGGAGAAAGGAAACCGTGCTGAATTTCATCGTGAATGATGGGTGGGTGAGAAATAGTTGTGATCGTGGGATAGAGATGTTTTAAGCAGACGGGGGGTCGGGCCTGATATTTCAAGACAATGGGAGCAGCAACGATCCATTGTAAGAGGCGGGCTGAGTGTTCCGGATCGAGGGCAAGGCCAATTTCCAGGCACTTCGAGATCCATAGCATGGCATTCTGGGCAAGCATGGAGCTAAGTGAAGCCATGCTGGAGAGCTTAATGTGGAATGTGGCCCGTGAAGAGGATGATTTTGGGTGGAATGTATCTGGATCGAGTATGGTATGGCCTGGCATCTGCATTCCGGGGCCTTGGGACTAGACATTTTAGACCCTAGAATGAATGCCACGAGTACGGCAGAGCAGCCGTGACCGAAACATGGCCCAAAATGTCCGTTCTTGGTTCTTGGTTCCTGGTTCCTGCGTCTAATTTGTCCGCGTTTGTCGTAAAGGGTCCCATCTTGACGTTGAAGGCGCCGCCCCAATTGTCAGGGTTTTGTGTGTGCGTGTCTATCGGCGAAGAATCTGCTTGAGACTGACAAAAACGATGTCTCTGAGACCTTCTTAGCATGGTGATCGACGGGCCAGGTGAACAAGATGGGACGGGTATGATGAAAGTACCCTTGATAGATCATTAGATCTACAACAATGTCGTTGTTTCTGTCTTGGTCGAATTTGATCAAACTCATGCCCAGTTCTGTACCTGCATTTTTCGTAAATCTGTCGTAAATGGCGCCTATGTCATAGTATGACAGCAAAACCTTCAGGTTCCTCTGTTCCCGAGATCACAGTCTGACGAGTCTTGGACGGAAATCTCTCATCCGGCCCGTATCCCAAGTTGTCGGTTCCGTAGTTTGGTAAATAACCTCATCTTAGTGCTAACTAGAGATGGTCGTGGCTTGAGCTGTCGGAGAGCGGGAATGCACTGACTCGATATGGTGATGTTAGCGGTGGTGTTGAGGTTTGAAACGATGCTTGAGCCGTCTCTTGCGATTCTGGGGGAAATGCTCCGAAGAGAGTAAAGTGGCAGTCATTGGTCAATGCTCAACAAAGGCTCGGTCCCTTCCGCTTTGAGGCTCTTGACTTTTTAGTACAGTTAGAGGTCCAATCAAGTCTCTCACACAAGTTTCTTCATTGAATTACTGTAAACAGATGCGTCGTTACGAGTTCTAATTTTACACCCAACAGTCATGTCTGTGCTTTTCTGCTTTGGGCCTAATAATTACTGATGTGACGATGCTCATAATCATTTACTCTCGAAGTAATCGTGCTTTTCTCTCCACGACATCAGACTTGATGACAAAGGCAGTGGAGGCTCGATGTGAAGTCATCATCGATGGCTCATCTCATGACTCCTCCACTGAAAATTACCCCTCCATGACTCACCAAAATACAGCGGCATCTCCACTGACAGTTCCCTAGAAGAAGAAAACATCAGGCAGAAGGGAAATTGAGACTATCCAGATCATCAATATGAGTAAAAATGATTGATCTGCCTGGGCAGAAATTGAGAAAAATTAGGTGAATTTTTCTATATATATAATTCAATTACAGTTCTCAAATCTTCTGAGAATTATCTTAGAACGTTAGAGTGAACCCTGGTAGACACATCCACTGATAAGATAACGTTTTTTTGAACCCCGCGGTAACAAGGTTGCACAAAAATTCCACAACGCCTTCATCGAATTTGTTTTCGCCAACATAACCGACATATTTTGCAATCTCGCTAAATCCCATTGCAAATTATTCAACATGGATCCCGCGGCAGGACCTGCTGCTCCTCACGAGCCTCCCTACCAATACACAGCAAACCAGGGCTACGAACAGACAGAAGAAATACCCCGCGAACTACAGACCCAAAAAGACGACGGTGCTGTTCTCGAGCAAGAAGACGATAACGACTTTGACGATATTTTTGAGGAAGATTTCGACGATAATGAGTGGTCTGCTGATGCGGGCGACTTGACCAAGTCTTACAACCGTCAGCGCAATGCCGACGGCGCCGCTGCTCCTCGCTCGAATCAGCAGAAACCTACTGCGAACACCTTTGCCAGCGTCGACGACCAAGTATCCGCCCTCTCAAAGCACGCCGCCAAGCTTCGTCTTGACACTGTCAAACAAGATGTCGAGAAAGACAAGGACAAGGCCGACCGCGCCACCAGCGAACAAGTCCTCGACCAGCGCACCCGCATGATTCTTCTCCAGATGATCAACCGTGGCTTTGTTAGCGAAGTCCACGGTGCTATCAGTACCGGCAAAGAAGCCAACGTCTACGGCGCCGTCCTCCACGATGATCAAACCGGCGAAGCTACCCAAAGAGCTATCAAGGTCTACAAGACAGCCATTCTCAGCTTCAAGGACAGAGAGCGTTACATCACCGGTGAGCACCGTTTCAAGGGTGGCTTTGACAAGGGAAACAACAGAAAGATGGTTAAACTTTGGGCGGAGAAGGAATTCCGCAACTTGCGAAGGATCTACACAGCTGGTATTCCCTGCCCGGAGCCCATCAGCCTCAAGCTTCACGTTCTCGTCATGGGCTTCCTCGGCGACCGCAAGGGCTGGGCGTATCCTCGCCTCCGTGACGCTACTCTGACGGGCGACGATGTCGATCAGCAGTGGTATAAGCTTTATGTCCAGCTACTTGGCATCATGCGCCGAATTTATCAGGTCTGCCGTCTTGTCCACGCCGATCTGAGCGAGTACAACATTCTCTACCACAAGGAGAAGCTGTACATCATCGACGTCTCGCAAAGTGTGGAGCCTGATCATCCTCGCTCTCTTGAGTTCCTGCGCATGGATATCAAGAATGTGGGTGACTTTTTTAGGCGCAAGGGTGTTGATACGCTTGCTGACCGCGCTATCTTCAACTTCATCACTACCCCTGAGGGTCCTGTGGAGGAGCCAGAAATGACCAAGGCGATCGAGACTCTGTACGAGACTCGCGCTGATACAAGTGAAGACCAGGCTGCTCAGATCGAGGTTGACAATGAGGTGTTCAGAAACCAGTACATTCCTCAGACATTAGAGCAGGTCTACGATATTGAGAAGGATGCTCAGAAGGTGACACAAGGTGAAGGTAACGACCTTGTCTACAGTAATCTACTGGCAGACCAGGTTATCGCTCCCAAGAAGGATGGTGAAGATGGCGAAGAGGAACAAGCTTCCACATCCGACTCTGATGAAGGGGCATCTCTCTCAGGCGACTCAAACGACGAGGCCAACTTCGAAAAGGGTCCTCCCCGCGGCCGTCGCTTCGAGGACAAGGATGAGAAGAAGGTTTGTATCTCAACACCCATTCTCCTCGAGGAACTTGACTGACCAATAACTCTCCAGGCCCATAAACAAGCCGTCAAGGAAGCTAAGCGCGAGAAGCGCAAGGAGAAGATGCCCAAGCATCTAAAGAAGAAGATCGTCGCCACCTCGTCCCGTCGCAAGAAATAGACCTGAACAGCTCAGTCTTGGCGATTCCTTATTCGCTTTCTCCCCTATTCCGGGCAAGGGACCGTTGTGTCGAGACGCAGGGCCGTCGAGAAAGAAAAGCCCCTTTGCCCGAAGGAGAAATAACACGAAAAGCTTATATCAACCCTTTCCCCCCTCAGGCACTGCAATCGGATGATGAAGACATTGATTGGTCGCCCGGAGATGTCACCGCCGAGACGGTTTAGCATTCCCCCTCGGGGTCTGTGTAACCTCCGGTTCTTTTGGCTCCCGCGGCGATCTGAACGTTCCCCCTTTCCGTGGGTCCGTTTTGAACGATCAAAGAGAGCTCTGACGATTTGTATTTTTTCCGCCTCCCCCTTCCCCGTAACGGAACGGAAAGGGTTCACAGCTCCGGATGAGGCTTGGCTGACCTCGGTTTTTGGGGGGTTTAAAGAAGAGCACACCGGAAAAAAGAGTAACGACTTTGAATATTATGTATGAAATGCCCTGATTTTATCGCTCAGTTGTGTTTTTTACAACTCAAATTAAAAAAAGTCAAAACGTTAACCCTCCCCCTTTGACGCCATTACATGATAACGTACAATCTCAATCTGATCAAAATATCTCATATTTCACCTTCTGACACGTTCATCACCCGGTAGATAATACCACATAACAGGACTGGTTATGTTCAAAAGTAAAACTGCTGCTGGGGCTGGCCTGGCGGTGGCTGGGCTAGGAAGTCAAAGTTCAACGAGTCCATTCCCGTGTTCCACGGGTCTGGCGATTCTGTGGCGAGTTAGTTTTCGGGGGTTATCAAAACAGAAGTATGACAGATGGGAAGTGACATACCACCCCAGATAGATTCGTAGAGGTCCATGGGAGCCATGTATTGTGTAGGATCGACGTTCATGGCGTTCATGCTGTCGAGATTCAGGTTTCCGTTTGGCATCTGCTGACCGTACGCAAGACTAGACACACTTTTAGAAACGTTCAGTTCAGATGGAAGGGAAAAGAATACTGACCCTGGAAAGTCTTGGATTGAAGCTCCTCCGTTTTGCATCTCAGCCATAGCGAGCGCTGCGTCCTCCCTGGGGTCCGCGCTTTGGGAAACGTTGCGAAACATTGAATTGCCATTTCCGGGAAGTTGACCTGGGTTTCCAAAAGGGTTAAGGGGCGTCCGGCTCCCGCTGCCGGCGGCAGAGGCGTCGCCTTCTTTCTTGAGATGCGACGGGACAATAGAGCCATGGTCGTAAATGTTCTTGAGGGCCGTGAGGGCGCGGTACAGAGGCCCGGACAGTTCAATGTCCTTGTCGGTGGTCATGACATGCGGCTCAGGGGAGCTAACGTCCTTGGCAGCAGTGGCAGAGAGAGCAGCGATCAGATCCCCTTGTAACTGCCGAACCTCTGGATCTGTCTTTGTCTCACATAGTATGCCGAGGAGCAGAGCTGATGATAGGCCGTGATACGTGAAGGCCCAGCTTCGCGTTGGGATGGAGGAGAGCTGGTGCATGGCGAGGAACATCCTGACGGTTTCGGTTAGGTTGTCTTTGCAGCGATCTGCTAGCGTCTTTCGTTGCTCAGGTTCAAATTCGCTGTCTTTTCGGAGTGCCGGACGACATGCGACGGAGATGACAAATGATGTGTGGAGGCGGATTGCAAAGTGTTGCAGACGGTCGAGGGCTGTCTTGCAGATTTCTTTGTTTCGCAATTGTGGTGCGGTGCGGCTTCGAAGGGTCTCTACGGCTTCGCAGTCGTCGATGATTTGAGCGTATGATGCACTCATCATGTCGTCGGGGTTTAGTCGACGAGAAATGATTTCCATGAGATGGTACATTGTTTCGAGGTATGAGTAGTTTCCGTTTGGTGTCGGCGCCATGACGGGGATCGGACAGCAGGGGAAGTTGGTCATTGGAGATCTAACAGCGTTAGAGGTGAGCCATCAACATGAGATACTCAATACTCACCTGTCAAAAGAAAGCGACGTCAAGGTGTCGTGCCATACAACGCTCCACCATAATCTTCTTCGCACCATTTCTTTCGATTGGGTGTTTGGGGGTGTACAATCGCGGCTTTCATTACGCGGTGTTCGGTGTAGACCGAGCGACTGGGCAAGACGACAGGTCAATCCCATCAGCGCCCATGATGCTTCAGCCTTCATGTCATTCAGAAGAACGAAACACGTTAAAAGAAGAGCTTGGATGGAGTCAAAAGAGGGTCTGCGATGTGTCAGTCCAAGTTGTCAAAGTTGGCAGGCTGCATTACCGAAGAAGAAAGTTGCCCAGTCGGAGGAAGTGAAATGATATCTGAATAAAGCGCTGAGAGTCTCGGGTGCGGATATGGTATGGCGATTCGTGGTACTGTGATCCGACGGCTAGTACGGCGAAGAGTATTGCTAGCCATGATGCTGTGACGGGTTTGGTGGACTTGATGCCGTTTGTCGCATTTCGTGAACGATCTTCCAGGTAAGTCATGAGCTTGGCCTCGAGGTCATCAATGTCCATAACGAATCCCCAAAACGGCTGAGGTATTTCCTTGTATGTGCGGAACAGCCTGAATGGCTCGTCAGCTTACGATCTCGCCACAGCAATTAAGCAGAGGGCAAAGGCGAATACTCACTTCATAACCTCGCGGTCGGAAGGTAATTCGGTGGATATATCCTGTGTCAATTTCTGAAGGTGATGCGACGACATCAGCGGGAAAGGCGCTGATGTGTCCAAGCCGAGAATGGACCTCATGTCTTGTCGAATGTCAAGACCTTCGCCTTTGTGAACTGGTGAAGACTGCTCGCGCAGTAGTGCTGGAATACTGTTCTGCCCAAGGTAGCGGTCTGCTGCAACTTCAGGTTCATCGATGCTTGCTGTGTTGTTTATTAGTCGTATGAACAGTGGCATGACCCGGATGTTCGGACACTCACCAAGGGCGCGCGGCCAACTGTCCTGTCGCTCAACCTTGCGCACTCCTTCGTCGCGAGGAGCCTCTGAGAATGAAAGTGTCCTCTTGCGATTGGCGATGCCTTGACTTGCTTCTGAAGGTGCACCAGAGCCTGATGGCTTTGAGGTTGATGAGCGGTTGGGCTTATAGGAACATAGTCTTGGGTGTTCTCTCTTGACGCAGTTTTCACAAGGTTGTTTATTGTCGCACTTGACTTTTCTCTGGCGACAAGGCCAACATGCAGTACCTAACGCGATGATGAGCTATCGATTTCCCCAATTGAGGTTATTCACAACATCTCTTACCGTAGCGAACCTTGCGATGGGAATGTATGATTCGATTGGCCTCCTCTGGGGTCAGGTCATCAATGGCTACCCGCTCATCTGGACTAGGGTTCTCAGCCATGGTGAATCGGGGATATGGGCTCAGAGACGAGCCGTGGAGCCAAACAAAGGTCGCGATAGCAATTGCGATGTGATGTTATGATTGCAGATGAGGGTTTACGAATGCCGAACTCCGAGAGTCTCCCATGCGATAGCGATAAGAGAGCGGGCGAAGGAGGGGAAGATTGCGGTGCTGACGAGCGGGGCCGGTTCGGCTTTCGAATTGGTTTTAGTTAGGATCGGGATGGTATTAATAAGGTAACAAAGAAGGGGAAGAATGTACTTGGCCGCTGATCTTTTGACCTTTCGATTCTCTGCCTCTGGTCTCTATGGTTGGCTGCTGGATGGGCACGAGACCGGTATGAGAACCGACATCCCGAAGCCACCGGTCGGATAAACTGAGGCCGAATCCGCGAGGCAAGCCACAGCCAGTTTGTTTGTTTGTTTGTTTGTGTATTTTTCGTCTGGGTGGCTGTAACGAAGCCAAATCTCCTACTGGAGCAAAAGACGTGCTGAGCTAGCTAGGTACAGGATACCCCGCTTCCTTCACCATCCAGCATACCAAGGCACAAAAGGCGCTGTATTTTCTCGAGCCCGTCACCCGTCAGCGGGTTCGGGGGCATACTGTCGACTTTTTCCACCGACCAGAATTCTCTCACGCATCGCTACATCTGCTGACGCAGTCCACAATCTCCAGTAACCAAGTTGTAGCTCGTAGTCGTATGCCGTGGCGGCAGGGAAAAACCTTGGGAAGGAATCAGAGGCCGGCGGTGCGGCTTGCCTTCAAAGGGGAAAAACCCATCGCAATCGGCGTCGTTGATCGGGAGGATGTCGCTACCGATGCCACGGGCACCGTCCTCCGATATCTAAGGCGTTCTGGTTCTGAGGTGCCGCCATTAGATCCGACAAAGGTGTTGTCAGAGAAGGCGAACTCTCCAAATTCCTTCTCTGAAAACTGCTGTTAGGGAGCCGATAGCGTCCCCGCAGTTTTTGTGTGGTCGCGTGGCCTGCAGAAAATCCCGCTCCTAGCACCGCACTAACAGTGCGTGCCAAGAAAGAATTTTTACAGGAGAGAGTTGAGCCACAGCCAGTCATCGCATGATGTCGCCTCTAGGGTAAAGAGACAAGAGACAACACGATTGAATAGTCAGTTGTCTATCATGATCAGCTTCATTTTCACAATTATCAACAGTTCCTATTAGCGCTCAGTCAATACAACTTCAGTCTACCATGAATCTCTCTTCCTCTCGTCCTTTTTTGTTGTCCTGTCTTTCTTTTTCTTTTGCGTGGGGGCCTACCATTCACTGCCTGTCGCAAGTCCCTTAACTTCTCTCCGAGAACTGCGCTCGCCCATGCTGCCCTGTCCAATCACCATATTTTTGTTCTTGCATGATCCAGCATTGGACTCGATTTGGTTCACGAGGCTGTGTATTGATTTGCTGAATAGAGCTTCTTTGTTGCAACGAACGACCACCGTTTTGCATCTCTCATTCTTGGCTTCTGGCACCGGTCGTCATGGCTAGTCAGCTCTCGCCCAGGAAAGGAGAGCAAGCCAAAGACGAACTCGATCGCACAGTTCGCTCACTCAGCACTGATTTTCACCTTCAGCTTCACATCCCTGACCTAACTCTGTCGCCCAGCAAGCGCCGGCAACAGCATCGCAATGGAGACCAAGAGCGAAGCGAACACATCTACTTATGCGCATATCGACTCAAGTTCCAGGATCCCAACCGTCTCGCGATATGTCTGACTCGCTTCCGTGAGCAGGCAGACGAGCATCTCAAGAATTGGATCCGGAAGCCCCGCGCTGACCCTGATACGGCCCCGAGCAAGTCCTTTGGCCCACACCGTCCACATACCCGCTTGACTTCAGAGGAGCGGGCCGAGCTACAGGACTTTCTGCTGCAGTTGCTCAAAGACGACAATATTGCAAATCGCCAGCGTTCCAAGTACTCGAAGCGCAAGTCTGATGAATTCCCTGATCCTAGCTCAAAGAAATCTAGAAACTCTTTCGAGGGTTCTCCTGCGTGTGAAAGCATTGACAGTATCCCAGTTCGCTCTAGAGCGGTGGCCTCCAGTAGCCGTCTATCAACGGGACGGCCCGCTAGAGGCGCAGGTACATCGTCCTTCACCAATGGCATAGTCAATTCCGCCACCACATCATTTGCCAGCACTCAGCCATCATCGTTCGGGATAAGGTCATTCAATTCCAGTAAAGTTTCACTGGCTCCAACTGTTTCCATAAATGACTATGCGCCGAGTACCCAGGCAACTACAGTGACAAATACCTCGTTCAAAAGATCTCAGCATCCGTTTCAGAGCACTCAACCTTCGTTCAGTAGCAATGCGACATCATCGAAAGACATTCAGGTTCCTTTCTCTCAAAGCATTCGGAGATTTGCGTACCAGCCGCCAAGCGAGGAAAATCGCAATGACATTGATCCGCCGAAACCGCCTTCACTTCGAAGGTATGGGGATCGAACGCCCTCAGAGCCTGTCATCGATCTCACTGATGATGATGAGCCCGTGGAAGAGCCAAGGCTTCCAGTTCTATCAATGCCTCAGCCGATCCGAAGTCAAGTTGACTTGAAGAGAGCAGGCATAGTTCGATCCAGCAGTCCCGCGACAGCCTACTCTAGCCTGCCAGAAATGAGTGAGTTCGATACAATGCTTCTCGATGCTCCGATCTTTGATCCAGAACCGCCTGAATGTCCGCTGAGAGATCGTCTTCGAAAAATCTGGCCAAAGTTCCCTATTCCCGGTTTGAATCAGGCGCCTCTCATTATCCTGTGGGAGCTTACCCGTGCCGCGCTTCATTGTCGCGTGGATCTATCTACATGGGATCTCGAATATCAGCCTAATGATAGTTGGCATGATCAGACCAATTTCCGAGGCCAGCTCTTCAGACATCGACTATTCGTGGGACAGGGCTTGCCTGCAGCTTGCGATCGCGCCGTCTGGGATGCTGCATTTGGATCGTTCACCTCACAAGACAAAGCCGTCGTCCTTGCTGCAGAATTTGTCTGCAATGCAGAAGATACTGGGCAACTATATCGGCTAAAGCTTCAGCCTCCGCGTCTTGAACTCGGGCATCGGCTGGCTCGCCGCTTTGGTGCAGATCGCTTCCTGGAAGTTATTATGCCCTCACCCACTTCTAGAGATGCTCCCGATGTGATCAAGCAAGACCCGCAAGGTGCAAATAAGGTCATCAAATGGTTGACTGAAAGCTTTCATTACTTTGTCGGTCGATCATGGGCAGCTTTCTACACTCGCGAGGCCAATAAGTCCATCAAAGACCCACGCCCTCCTCACAAGTCACTGACGATCATGCAAGAGCGCGTGTATTTCTTCGCAACCGACGGTATCAATTTTCGGGTTCCCATGAGTCAGTTTCCTCCTTTAGAAGAAGCGACTTCTCTGGGACACCGTACAAAGATGAGGCGGTGTGATCTCTTGAACTGGGCTATCAACATTGAGCAGAACTCGTCGCAACCGGTGCCCAAGCTATTTTCACGACTTGCTCTCAGTCAGTTGTTTGACCGACCGTTTTCCGTACTCTTAGCTAATATCCCAGTCCAGGCCTCAGCAAGACTGTCCCCACCATCGTCATTGAACCTCACCAATTTCGACATCGCGACACTATGTTAGGCTTCCACAAGTACATGAGCAACAAAGAGAAGAAGGAGCAAAAGGATATGGGTGACGGTATCGGTCGAGTGTCTCGAAACCTAGCGCGCAGGATAGCGACTCACATGGGACTTTTGGAAACGCCGTGTGCATTCCAGGCTCGTATCGGAAGTGCAAAAGGGATGTGGATCGTCGACGTCGAGGATGATGGATTGGACAATGACGATTGGATCGAAACATATCCCTCACAACGAAAATGGAATTGCGACTTCGAAGACGTCCATCACCGGACATTTGAGGTACGCGAGTGGTCCAGAGAGCTACGGTCAGCTGCTCTCAACACACAGTTCATCCCGGTTCTTGAGGCCCAGGCGCCGGTGCCTCAGGACATGCGCAATGTCATCGCCCGTCACCTCGCGAATGGCCTTCAAGAAGAGATTGGGGGTCAACTTGCCGCTATGACCCATCCGACCAATCTTCGTGGGTTTACACATCGCGGCTTTGACCGAGCGACATTGGGTAACGTCCCATTCGTGGGCGCCCTGCCGGAGCGAGAAGAAGATATTATCTCATACATGCTCGACGCTGGCTTCGACGCGACTAAGTGTCGGTTTCTGCGAGATATGGTGTGGAACAACCAGAAGCGACAGGCCGACCAGCTCAAGGCGAAGATGAACATCAAAATCCCTCGGTCGACATACGCATTCATGACGGTCGACTTCACTGGTACACTAGAAGAGGGCGAGGTACAGCTTGCATTTTCCTCGAAATTCCAAGCAGACGGCGAATCAGACACGTTACTCGATGGGATCGACATCCTGGTAGCTCGAGCTCCCGCTCACTTTGTCAGCGACATACAGAAAGTCAAAGCTGTATTCCGACCGAACCTGAAAAGACTCAAAGATGTTATTGTCTTCTCGTCAAAGGGCAAATCTCCGCTGGCCGATATGCTCTCTGGTGGTGACTACGACGGCGACTTGGCTTGGATCTGCTGGGACCCTGATGTTGTCAACAACTTCAACAACGCGCCAAAGCCAGTCGAGCCGGATCTTGTCGGACAGGGATATCTCAGGAAGTGCAACCCAAGCTTCGAGTCCATCTTGGACGCGGCCACTGATGTCGATAGTGCATGCGCAGACTTTCTTTGTACAGCGATCTCGTTCAACATGCAACCTGGGTATTTAGGCATCGCGACCAAGTTCAAAGAAAAACTGTGTTATATAGAAAGAGGTGTCAACAGCGAACGAGCTGTTGCGTTGAGCACCTTGGTCGCTCTCCTGGTTGACCAAGCGAAACAAGGACTGTTATTCACTCGTGAAGACTACGACCGGCTGAAGCGCGACATGCAAATGAAAGGCAAGGACCCAGAATATGAGAACGAGAGGAGCTCTAGACGTAACTACGTCAACAGGGATGGTTCCATCCATATTCTGGACGAGCTTAAGTTTATAGTAGCTGAGGATACAATCGCAGACGCATTGAAGAAGTTCTCTGCTGCTCTTTTTGGAAAAGACGTCCCCGTACAAGCATGGGACAAGGACCTGGCCCGTCTTTGGGACGACTTCGAAAGCCAGAAGAACGAGTCGAGGATCATTGGCAGACTCATGACTGCCCTCCACGCACAGGTTTCCGATATCATGGAAGAGTGGAAGAAGACAATGGCCGGCGGTAAAAGCGATCCCTCGAACAGCGATTTCAGCGTCAAAGTCCGGGAACTGCATCAGAAGTGGTCTTCATTTCAACCACCGCCTGAACTCCTAACCTCGAGGCAAGTCAAGCCCCTCCTTGACAAATGGAACAGCGACGCCTCCCTAAGCAAATGGGAGCTCCTCAAAGCATCCACCATGTTTAAACTGGGCTACGAAAAGTCGTACAAAATGGTCTGGCGTCTCTCAGGCAAACAGCTCGCATGGATGAAGGCCATGATGCCGGACGGAGGCGCGGTCGCAGTCAAGATTGAGATGTGGAGTATTCTCAGGCCTGATAACAAGCGCATTGCTGCGCTTAATGCGCGGAGGCAGATTGGGCATGATAATGAGAGTCTGGCGGCGCTGGAGGAGGTTACGGAGTATGATGAGACGGGGATGCAGATTGACGATGCTTAGAGGCGCATTGGATCGGATACTTCGACGTTCTCGAATACGGGGTCTTTGAGGAGCTGGAGACCTTGAAGTTGGATTGAGGGTTTGGTTTGGGAGGGAGAGGTTGAGACTGGAGGACATTGAGAACGCAGGGGCGTTGGATATGCAATGATAGCTTGGGCATCCTTCAGTTGGTCATGGGGTGATCCAACGCAATCGAGGGTTTGTTTGTATTTGTGGAATTGAGTGATACCCTGGCGTTGTAATTAGTACACTACGTTCTATTCAAGAAAGACAGAAGAGCTAATCAGGCAGTCTTCACGAGGAAGCATCTAGCGGCCGTGCTGTGAGTTGTGTTAGGTAGCCTGTAATGCGTGATGGTGGGCGTGATGTCTAAGATCCAGGAACAAGGAATAAAGGCCAAAGCGCTGCAGGCTGCAGGCACTACCGAAGATGGAACTGCAAAGTCATCCTTCGAAATTCCCCGTCCTTTATTCCCATCGCGATATTGATACGAGAACAGCTATCAACCAGGGTTTCAATCAGCTAACACCAAGCACTGGAATGTTCTCTGTCTCCGTCGTGACGACCTGTGATGAATTCAACATTGGCGAGCTGCATTCATTACACAGCACATTTTCCTTGTGTATCCAAATGAAACAAACAAATACAAACAAACAAACACTCTTTGATGAAAGCCGCTCGGACGTCCCTGAAGCATAACGGAGATTCCCAAATTCACAAGATTAGGTTGGTTAGGTTGGCGCTCGGCAGGTCGGCATTTGGACAAGCCACTAGCGGCTCTTGGTCTTCAGCTCTCCAGGCCCTGTAGCTACAGGGAGCTTTCCGCTGGCCAGAAATCTGATTGGTCCAGCAGGGAGATCTAAACCGTTCTGCGTTACAGCTCTGGCGCCTCAATGAGGTCATTGAGTTTGGGCCAAGCTCGTTGTGTGATGTCTTTGATTCTTAGGCAATCTTGGAAGGCCCCGCTTGGACTAGACTGGGTTTTGTGAGATCATGATGTTTTTTGGGTGCCCTCCCTTTTCTTTGAGTTTATGTCTACTCTTGACTTCTTCATCATCAGAATTGATTGAATCCATTCCTCGTGATTGAATCAATCAAGCGCGACTGATTTTCGTATCGCGACTCGGTACTTGGTATCCCTGCGCTGATCACGACTCCATCGCGATTAAGAAACATCCTCCACTGAATCGCGGCTACAAGTAATTCGTCAAAGAGACTACCAACTTATCAAAAGTACTCTCGTCACCAGAATCGACCATGGGCGAAGCCGACAATTACTACAATCCGAATCAACAGCCGCCGTACGGCTACTCCAACGGCGGCGGCGGTTACCAACAACAATACCAACCTCAACCTCCCCCCGCAACGCACCAGCAACAATACCAACAGCCTCCCCAGCAGCCCTACCAACAAGCTCCCCCTCAGAATGGCAATGGTTACATGCCCGCCCAAGGCTACGGCGGCAACGAGAAGGCCTCGTTCGAAGAGCAGTTCAATATCCCCAAGCCAAAGTGGAATGATCTCTGGGCTGGTATCCTCTTCATTCTCTTCATGGCCGGCTACGTTGTTGTCTCTGGTATTGCGCTGCAGGGATACGCTGCGAATAAGGGAAATGCTGGGTCGGGAATCTACGGTAATCGGAATGACTTTTCGCTGAACACTAGTACCGTTATTTTGTTTATGTTTGTGCTCGCTGTTGCGTTTGTCCTCTCGTATGCGTATGTTTGGATGGCGAGGTTGTTTCCGAAGCAGTTCATTTGGGTCACTGGTATTCTCAATGTCTGCTGGGCGCTTGGAACGGCCATCTTTTACCTCTGGCGCAGATACTGGTCTGCTGGAATTGTGTTCCTCATCTTCGGACTTTTCCTGGCCTTTTGTTTCTGGACATGGATTTCGCGAATTCCCTTCTCAGCGCTGATGCTTCGAACTACTATCGACGTTAGCAAGAAGTATGGCCATGTCTACCTTACCAGTCTGATTGGAGGCATTATCGCCACGGCTATGTCTGCTTGGTTCTCCATCACTCTTGTCGCAATCTACATCAAGTACCAGCCTGCGAACGATAACCCCTCTTGCGCCGATGGCGGCTGCAGTTCAGGCAAGGTCATCGGTCTTATCGTCTTCATCACGTTTGCCATGTACTGGTTCTCCGAGTGGCTCAAGAACACCATCCACACCACGATTGCCGGTGTCTACGGCTCTTGGTACTTCAACCCTCACAACTTCCCCAAGGACGCCACTCGCGCTTCCGCCAAGCGAGCCTTGACATACAGTTTCGGTTCCATTGCTCTTGGTAGCTTGCTGGTCGCCATTATCCAATTCATTCGTCAAATTTGCACCGCTGCTCGCAACCAGGAGGCCGCTGATGGCAGTATGTTGGGATACGCTCTGTTCTGTTGCATTGGCTGCCTTCTTGGTATTTTGGAGTGGGCTGTTGAGTTCATCAACAAATATGCTTTCTGCCACATTGCGCTCTACGGCAAGGCTTACTTTGCGGCTGCCAAGGATACATGGAAGATGATCAAGGACCGTGGAATTGACGCTCTGATCAACGTAAGTACAATCGACCTCTCTTCAAGTGCACGGCTAACTTGTGTAGGACTGCCTCATCGGACCCGTTCTTTCGTTCGGCGGCCTCTTCATCGCATACGCTTGCGGTCTCCTGGCCTACCTCTACCTGTACTTCACCGACCCCCCTTACAACAGTGACGGTCAATACACAGCAGTTGTCATGGCGTTCTCGTTCCTCATCGGATTCCAGATCGCCAACGTCTTTACGACCCCGATTTCGAGCGGTGTCGAGACCATCTTTGTTGCTGCCGGTTGGGATCCTCAGGTCATGTGGCGCGACCACCCTGAGCTTTACCAGGAGATGTGCAGAGTGTATCCCAAGGTTCAGCAGGTCATTCGTGACCGATAAGCTAGTCATGCATGTTGATATCATCATAACTTTGCCCTGAGTAAGCCGAAGCGGACTACTGCTCTGGCTGAAATGGCGAAGACGTATGATGAGTGATAGCATAAATAGCCAAAGCTTAGCCCTGAGCACTGGGGTGCTCTTACGATTGACTGATTGGCTAGCTGCTTGTCTTTGAATGATACCATAGAAGGATACTGGAGGTTTCATTGTGTATTGCGCATAATGAAAACTGTCTTTTGTTTCGTGCCACTGTTTTGCACCACGGAGAATATTTAATGCTACGGAATAATAAATAATTACTCTTTCTTTACCTTGAATGCTGTCACTGGTTCTTTGAATCTACAGGTGATATTGAGCGGCAGCAATCTGCAAGAGCGTAGCTGAAGTGTTTGCATAAAGTGTATGCAAGTTATCAAGCTGACTTGAGCTACCCATTGTGATGGGCTAAAATTGCAGTGAAAGACTGTGGTAGGCCTCTAGGGCCAGACCTAAAGAGCAAGCAATGACGAGTTCCAGCGACTCGAAGCGCAATTTGGAAGCTATCAGTTACTCAAAGCATTTTTGAAGTACAACCCAAGATCAGAGAGTTTCCGAGTTGTTTTCGCAAGTTGGCTTGGGTGATCGGTCACAGCTTGGCCGCAAATCAAGTGGTGTGAGTCTACAGCTCCAACATCAACACCAACTGTGCCGCACACTCTCGCTCTTTGCATGAGGTCCTTTTGGATCTCACGTCAAACAACCAACAATAAATGCCAAGAATAAACCACCAAGCATGGGGCCTATCGGACCTGCGCCCGGAACGACACGAGGGAATAAGTCAGTTCATGCATGGCTCGCGGGAAGATCTCCCGGATCTTATTTCCCTATCACGATCCTAGCTAGGTCCAAGCTGGAGGTTAAGATACGTCGGGGGGATGTTGGTATTACACAACTTGATCGTCAAAGAATTTGTCAGTAAAACTGTGGTGAGACGGCCGGGGGAAGGAAGCGAGATTGTCGAATGATGGGGATAACGCGGAGGAAGAGACGGGTATGCAGTGGTGGAATGTTTTGTCATCTGAGTGGATGTTACTGTGACGATGCCAATGGCCACTGTACGGGTAAAGCATCTTGGGCCATTGGGTGAACTGGGGATGAGGCTTGATATCCGATTGAAGCATCACAACTACTCCCATCACATCGGAACGCCTCATGACTCAACTGACAGTCTCGGCCCGTAACGGCGATGGCATCTTGCGGAGTCAGTACATAATGAAAACACCCAAGCCCAGGTTCTCCTCAATCCCCGTTTGACGCCATGAATGCTTATTTTCAGCATCACGTAACCGTATCAAAAACCACTCGGCTAGATCCATTATTTCGTCCCCAGTATCAGTTAGTCTAGCAGGTTTTATTAATGGTCGGTGCTCTCCGATAATGGAGAGAGTGATTCACATAAAAACAGTCACGTCGGAGATGCGAGGTTGTCGTCGGCAGAAAGAGCCGCATATCCTTGTTTCTTCTGTACGAAATGGCCCGATAGTTTAAAGCTGAGAGAGTTGCTGGGAGGGTGCCTTGTCAGACCACGAGCTGCATGTAAGCCACCCGATCCAAGGCTTCGATTTGTTCCATGCAGAATCAAGCCACATGAAATTTTCTCTTTTTCCTTGGCTTCGCGGGCACTCATTGGCTGCTGTGCGTGGTTTTGCAGCGGACTGTCCGTGGCAAGGATTTTCATCGGTGGCGCGTGTGTGAGAAAAAATGACCCCCTGGCCCTTGAGAACTTTTTTCTTCTGCGTTTTTAGCGTGGCGGCTCGGGAGACCTAACTCAATCGGTAACGAGCCGGAAACTGCAGAATTAAAACATCTCACGATATTTCACATTCAACGTGATTAACCCAATAACACGGAGCTCTCCTTTACTGCTTATGTATGTAAAATATGATATGTATTATATAGCTGTGATACATAGTGTGATCTAGTCAAAATAGGAAGTTGGGGAAATCGGGCAGCATGGTTAATGGTGAGTGTTGTGGTGATCGCTGAGATCGCTCGCTCATACCGGGAGGCAAATGCTCGAGAAAATCTCGCTGGATGTAAATGGATTACATCCACTCACACAGACCAATTCTTACAGCACCAAGGTTCTGGTCTGGTCCGATATCGAAATTTTTCGTAATGGGCCCATTCATTCCCGATTGATATACCCATCCCCGTTGACATTTCATTTTTTTACATAACAGAGTCATTTGCCAGCCCACTTGGTCTCGGTCTCTCGTCTCTCAACTCATCTTACCACTCGGGCTCGTCTCTTCTCCCTTCTTGCAAGCGAGTCAATCCTGTCTTCTTCTGTACCTCGCATATCACCACCATCAGGACAGTCTTTGATTTGAGATACAGCCATCATGCTCGTGGACTCTTCCTCAGCGGACGAAAAGTCCCCTCGTGTTAGCAACGAGAAGAAAACCCCCTCCAAGGAAGATGTCGAGACCGGCGAGGCTGGCCTCGACAGGGCCATGAGCTCGCGTCACTTGCAGTTCATCGCTATTGGCGGCACCATTGGAACAGGTCTCTTCCTCGGTGTAGGCCCAGCCCTCGTCAAGGCAGGTCCCGTGTCGCTCCTCGTCGCATTCGCCTTCATGGGCTCAGTCGTGTACTCTGTCATGGTCAGCTTGGGCGAGATGGCGGCGTACATCCCCATCACTGGATCCTTCACCTCGTATGCCGCTCGCTTCGTCGATCCCACGCTGGGCTTCGCCATGGGCTGGCTGTACTGGTTTAGCTGGTCTATCACTTTTGCGCTGGAGCTTGTTGCCGCGGGAATTATCATCCAGTATTGGGATTCGGATCTTAGCATTGCGATCTGGATTAGTGTTTTCTGGGCGTTGTTTACGGCGTTGAACTTTGTCCCCGTGAGGATCTTTGGAGAGATTGAGATGTGGTTCTCTATGATCAAGGTCGTTACCATCATTGGCTTCATCATCTTCTCCATCTGCGTAAACGCTGGTGTTGGCGAGGAGGGCTACATTGGTTTCAAGTACTGGAAGGATCCCGGCGTCACAAACACCTACATGGACATTGACGGCGCCACGGGCAAATTCGTCGGCTTCTGGGCTGTCCTCGTCACTGCTGGTTTCTCGTACCAGGGCACTGAGCTCGTCGGTGTCGGCGCCGGTGAGACTGCCAACCCCCGCAAGGCTATCCCCCAGGCTATCCGCTGGACTTTCTGGGGAATCTTCAGCTTGTTCATGGCGACCGTCTTCTTCGTCGGAATCAATGTTCCCTTCAACGACCCCCGACTTGACTCTGGTGCGCAGGATGCTTCTGCTTCACCTCTCGTCGTCGTCGCCACCCGCGCTGGTGTCAAGGTGCTCCCTGACATTATCAACGCCGTTCTTCTCTCTGCCATTCTCACAGCTGCCAACTCAAACGTCTACTCTAGTAGCCGTATCATGGTCGCGCTCGCTGAGGATGGTCTTGCGCCCGCTTTCATGAAGCGCACCAACAAGTACGGAACTCCTTACTTTGCCGTGGCTTCATGCTCCGTCATGGGACTCATCGCCTACATCAACCTTTCCTCCAGCGGAGCCGAGGTGTTCAACTGGCTTCTCAACGTCAGTTCCACCTCGTGCTTCATCACCTGGGTCCTCATCAACGTCTGCCACATCCGCTTCCAGAAGATCATGCGCGTGCAGGGAATTCCCCGCTCCGAGCTTCCCTACCTCGCTCCTCTCCAGCCCTACCTCTCCTACTACGGCGCTTTCTTCGTGGGGTTGATCACCATTACTTGTGGTTTCACCGCCTTCATCGATTGGAGCGTAGCCGATTTCTTCTCCAACTACATCAGCTTGATGCTTTTCGCCGCGTTGTATGTTGGTCATAAGCTCATCTGCCGAACCAAGGTTGTTCCTCTGGCTGAGGTTGATCTGAGCAAGGGACGAGAGGAAATGTAAAACGAGTTTTGATTCGGAGTTTTGGGTGCTGGAAAAGCAGCAAAAGTTTTGTATCCGTTTTTTTGGCGTATAGCAGTTAATAGTTGTAATGAGAGATATGATACCCTGAATACTCGAGTCTCGTCTGTGAAGTCGAATGTGTAGCACTGTAGAATCTATAGTCTGAAGTCAGGGGAAGGATAATAGGATAAAACAGACATCAAAGGTCAGGGGGGGCATCGATGGCTTTATTGTAGGAGCATGAATTTATTTTACGTCAAGTGGTGGCATGAGACCACGGAATGGCACTCTTTTTTCGGTAAAAGCATCAAATTATTTGGTAATTTTTTATTAGCAGCATGTCAAGACATGGCAAAGGGCGTTGTGTCCTGACACGATGGGACCCAGTTGGCAATGACAAGACATGGTAAAGGGCGTCGTCAAGGCGGGTCCCTTTATCTTATCGTTTTACAAGCTTTGGTGGGACCTGATGAATTGATGGAGAAGAATCATGCTATTTCCATTTATAGGATATAAATGGGATTCCGTTTATTATGGTTAATTGTTAACGGTTCAATTGTGTCGTCTCCGTTTTCTGCTGATTCGATGGTTGAAGTTTGAGATTTACTGATCTTCAAAACTGAGAGAGCCAACTAGACGGTAAGGAAGATCTTGACCTGCACACTTAAATAAATCAGCATTACAGAGTAGTGGTCATCAATACCATGCATTCCTCAACGTTCATTCCATCCCAAAGGCTCTCAACTATTTGTCCTACCCACTGCTCAATCTCTGGTACAGGCGTTGTGTCGTCTATAACCTGGTCCGGGGGGAACAAGGAGGAACAAGATTCCTATGGGACTCGCTTGATCCGCTCCGGCAACGATTTCATCTCCCCGAAGAGCAAACTATTGACTGCAGATCAAATGCTGTGCGGTTCAGCGGACGCGATTGGCTTGGCGGCTCTAGGCGAACAGAGTTGCTGACGTTCTTGATGCCAAGCCTCGCCTTAAGCTTCTTTTGATGTTGCGCATCAGATGGAGATGGAGATGGAGGGCGGCCACCCCACGCTACAACCCACCTCTTCAGCCGTCTTTCAGCTTTTCTATTGCGATTGCCTCAATGTAAAGAACTACAACTAATAACTATCCCTCTCGAGAAAACTCGCAGGAGTGAGAGCACGTCTTACGCGTCCGACTCACCGCCAAACCTCAAAGTCTCCCATCATCAAACTCTGACAGGGTAAGAAAAATTCCAAGTCGCATCCTGTGCCTCAAACAAGCTCATCACAAACACCCTGATTCGCTGGGCCTCCAAGAAAATAGACTCCCCGAGCGTCATGCACGAGTATGAAAGCGGTAATGCTCGACAAATAGTGGCGATGGTCCGACCCCTCTGCTTCGGGTCGTCGGCGCCAATCAGGGCTGCGCACGACGGGGAGAATCGCGATGTGACAGGCTTTCGAGGGTAAAGTACTCCGGTTCTGGGAGTCTAGAGTTGGAAAACTTGGAAAAGAGGGTGGTGACACGTTGGCAGTTCGGTCAGATAATAGGACAAGAGGCGATATTGGTGATAGGTGATGATGATATCAGTGGATGGAACGGGGAGAACAAAGCTGGTATTGTCTGCCCTGCGAGATCCGAAGCGTCAACGTGCTAATTTGGTCCATCTCGTGTGACGAGTAGCTTGAATCAGTACGAACTCTCAATAATCCCGCAATTGATATGCGTGTGACTCTCTTCTGGAGAACATATCCAGGTCAAAATGCCGGGATTAGCACATTGTGCATAACCATGCTGCGGCCGGAAGTTTCATCACGTATGACTACAGGCTGTTTACTCTTTCTTTTCAGCAATGCTTTATCAAATCGAGTCCGTAACGGAAACATAGACTCTGTATCAATAGGTCAAGTCGATGTTGAACATACCTTCAAGTGATGGGAGAAAACAAATTGAAGATTACCCTGTAACGTTGCTAGGGGAGTTCCGATTGGCGCTACAAGATAGAAGCAGGGGTGCTGTAAAGAATGTTTCTAGCACGTGAAAGTGGCCCAAATGTTTGGTTTCGTTGAGAAGTCCCCTGTTTCTTCCCTACAGGGATCAAAATTCTTCAGGATTACACTTCTAGCGATTGAACATCGCAATATTAACACAAACACGAATTGAAAGAGAATACGAGAGAACCAAAGACATGCTTCCATTACCCTCCATCGATAGGTACCTTTCTCCAGGGCCACGATGGAGTCCCCCCCTACCCCTCCAGGTCCCAAAATTGGCGGGCAGCTAGGCCTGAATTGTCTTTAGGGCAGTCCAATCATGGGCTACGTGGGGGGGCATGTCAATTGGCACCCGCCCTGAAAGAGATCGAGGCACTGGTACTCCGTATTGTGAATAAAATGCTAACTACTCCTTGCTTCCAAGTGGCTTCTTTTTAAGAACCTAGAGACTTGGTGATACTTCTGTATCTTTATCTTC